GAAGTGGGTAGCCCAGCAGGTGGAAGGTGGGGAGATGTGTGTTAGCGCTGTCAGCTCTCATTTATGTGGATCATCTTACTTACTTTACTTCTCCAAGGCTGGGGGGTTAAAAACAGGATTATAGAGAAGGTGCATGAGTAGAGAAAGCACAAAGAATATTTGCAAAGATTATGTGCAAAATTATGTATTGAAATTTATATGAAGCACTGTATTAGTCATATATATCAGTGCATCCGTACAATTACCTGCTTTGTCTCCTCTAAAAACAATATACTGGCGCCCTCCAGAGGCCGTTCAACGGAATCACAACACAGAAACACACTTTTTTTAAAATCTGACTCATTTACAAATCGTCTTCAGAATAAACTTTATTCTGAAGTTTAACCATAATGTCAGCTTTAAAAATATTCAGTTTTAAATAGTCAATTGCTACAAGTCACATTCTGGGGCCAAAAACCTTTTTGCTGGACTTTGGGTAACAGCATCATCATAAGTAATTCTTAAAGTTTTCTAGGATTTGATGTCAGATTCTCCAGTTCTCTTGTTTTGAATCTACCAAGAAATCACCATGCCTCTATCAACAACTGGTTCCATAAATTTGTTCACAGTATCCTACCTAAAGTCCTTTAACTCTTACGTCCACACCTCTTCGGCTGCCAAAATTCTTCTTCGACAAACTTAATAGTGTGGAGAAGTAGGAAAATGTTTTAACAAACGTAACATCGGATTACTGTGATGGACTACTGATGGTTGCCTATAGATGGCACAAAAAGCTGCAGTTCAGTTTTTAAACAGAATGTGTAAACAGAAGTATATTTCTTGCATTTTGGCCCCGCTCCAACCGCTGGCGGTATAATTTGTTTTATTACCTGATGTAATCATTTATTGTGGGTTTATCAGTTCCTCTGTCCTGAACTGCTCCATCTTTACACACTGTCTTGTTGCTTTTAAAACTTTTTTAAAATCCTTGTTTGTCACTGGCATTTAATGTGGTTTTATATGACTATAAAAATGGTTTAAGATCTTTTAAGTTGTACTCGTGTTCTTTTGATCATTGCTGCTTTTATGTAGGGAACATTTGTCAACCATCATGTTTCAGGAGGGCAATAAAGTTATATAAAATGTTGTTAGAAGGTCAGATTATTACACCGGCGCTATGAAAGTGGAAATTCTGAAGGTTTTGCCTGTTACTGATCTGCTTCGATGTTCGGTGTCTCAGTGAGTATTGAACTATGTATCTCCCAACAAAGCTGTTTTGTACTTTGCAGATCTAAAAACCTTAAAGAAAGTTAGCATGGACCCAGTTCCTCAAAGTTCTACTGATGTTAGGTACAAGGAGCATCAACAGGTTGGGCTCCAACTTGGGTTTAGTGTTAGGAAAGCAGCAGGTGGTTTTTAAATTGCTGCAGGATTTAGAGAACACCAAATGTGTTTTTGTGGATTATAGTTTTAATGAATTTGATCATTTGCGGCAGGTTTGTGATAAAAAAAATAATAAAACATTTATACAATCCAAACACAGGTAAATAAAAACTATTATTTACTAGTCAAACTTTTTACTATACTATTACTATTTACTATTCATAATCATATAAGAACCCCTACTACCATTTATTGGTATGTGGAGGAAGTGTCAGATTTACTTTGCTTTACAAGTCTTCTTTCTGTATTAAAATTAAAAGTTTCAGATTATTTCAAACTCTTGATCTTAGCCGTTACTCCTGGCTGTGTCATTAGTACTTATATTTATGTGGAAACTGATTTGTCACATTGGATTAACTAGTTTTGGATTTCTTTTAAAATAAAAAATTGAAGTGTTTTTCTTTTTCTTTTTTTTAACTCAGTTTCATCCAGTATTAAAATGTGTTTGATGAACTGATACAAAAATCAAAACCAAAAAAACCAAAACCAGAATAATTATGTAAGAGGGAAACACTATAAAGCAGAAGTATACGAAACTATAAAGTAGAAAAATGAAAGTTCACCCTATAAATATATGTCCACTTAAACAGAATAAAACTGAAGTAATGATACATAGATGAATACAAAGTAATCATTTTAGAGCCTCGGCACACTTCAGTGAAAAAAAAAAAAAATATCTTCATGCAGATAATCACATTCCATGTGCTGGTGTCAACTTTTTTTAATTGTGGTTCAAAGACTCAGCAAAAAATCTGATGACTAATCATTTAACAGATACATGACACAGCAAAACTAACAGGCACAATAAAAGCATTTATTGCTGCGGCAAGCACAAAAATATTTATCTACGATGCATTTCAGAAGATATTATTGAAGAGCAGTTTTAATAAAAGTACAGATAAAATAATTTATCTGTAGGGAATTGCTCTACAAAGTCATGCAAAATGCCTGTTTATGGTGTTTAGAACAGTTAATAATTATGTAGAGCAATATGTTTTCTTTTAACCAGTGTTGTCTTTGCGATGAAAAACTTCACATTTGATGTCATTATACCAGCAGAGCGTTATTGTGTGCATGAATGGGTGAATGAATGAATGTCGTGCAAAGCATCTGATGTCCTCTGAACAAGAAAAAGCATTATGCATGTACCATTTACTGTAAATAAAGTTTTGGAAGAATAACGACCAACCTGTATTACTTTTTTTTTTAAATAAATCAATCCACTCTTCTGTTTTAACATGTGAACATTGAACTAAATTAGTTGCTAGAATATCCTGCGAATTGTTCAGCATTGTTCTTGACCGACTGGGACCCCACCTGGCCAGTTTCCTTTCATTATTTTCATCATTTTTGTAAGAAAATTCAAGTTTTGCAATCTTGTGGATGTTCAGCTTCCTCAGCTTGTCAATAACTATGCTTATTGTATTATGGAAAATATTATAAACTGCTGAGTTTTGTTTTTTCGCACCACACTCTCCATAACTCTTCAAAAGTTGGTTTCTATTAATGGATGCAAATAAGCAAATGTCAAAGCCTACTGAGTTTTGAGCTTTATTTCTGGTTATGCATAGTTATAATTATGTAAATTCAAGAATGCATGCTAAAATAAAAACAACCTTTGTCCACCATGTAACAGTTTATGAGTGTACACATAGATGAACCATATATTTGTTTTTCCAGTATTTGTTTTGGATTGAACAGGATGCATGACACATTATAAGTTTTGAATCGTCATGGTTTAAGTTTAAATCATAATACTTAATGTGAAAAAGGAATTTGTAAGCGTTATAGTTCAAAGGTATATCTATATCTTATCTTCCAAATTATATCTGTCCTAACAACCTAATCACAATCTAGATTAGGTTCATTTCTGACACTCCTCTGTAATTAAACTGTAATGGGAGAACGTTTTCTTCTGTTTACATTTCCAACAATGTGAAGTATTAAATCTTCTTAAGATGTAACTATGTAAAGCATAAACTCTCACTTTCTAGATTTGTCTTTCTATTGGTGAGACAGAAAAACCTTTTTGCTTATTTGTAAAACATGGTAATGTTAAGTAAACTAAAAGATCCCATTCCTAGTGTCTAATAAAAAAGATAACAGAAGAGAAAGTTATTTGGTTGCAAAGATTAAAAGTCTTTATATCCATAAACCGTGTTAGAGTTTATTACAGTCAGTAAACATTAACCCACTCTATAATCCTCTCTAGCACGTTTGTAAAACTCAGGGCCAAACAGCCTACTGTGAGTTTTTCTGCATCACATAAATACATCCTTCAAGATAAGTTGTGTGCTTAGATATTTTATCAATCAAATCAGAATTTTTCTGCATAGTGCCAAATTACATCAATGTGAAAATGGTTTCACTATTAAAGTAGTCATTGAATGCAGAGACAGATAATTATCAGTATTGTAACTGTTTGTTAATGAGTAGTTTTATCAATATATTTAGGCATAACTGGCCATTTGATGACATCCATGATCTTGATATGGCACAAAATGAAAATGAATTTGATGCACCTTCTCTACAGCATGAATTAATAGTGACAGCCTTCATGTTTAAATTTACCTAACTCACCAATTACATAATAAAGGTGTCTGATAATCTATAATAGTTAGAGGTACATGGCAGGATAATAATAGATTCAATTTCTTAAGAATACTGAAAATATTAAATATCTAACACAGTGAAGGCAAACACAGGCATCATATTGTTTATCTCTTCTTTTGTATTTGTAACAAAAGTTCAAAGCCAGACTTCTGCAGTGTGATGTGTGTGTGTGTATATATATGCATGCATCCTCAAACTGAGGATGCAAAGATTCTGTGCATCCTTTTGTGCAATTTTCCTTCATGTTTCTACTTCCTGTGACTGCAGATTTCATCTGTGGTTTGTAACAGTTTTAATTTGTAATTTTTTTTCTTGGTTGTAAGAGTTTTGCTTCCGCATTCCATAATTGCAGCATTTAATTTTTTGGAGCATTCTTTTTTTTTTTTTTTTTCTTGCATCATTCATGTGTTTGCAGCTCATTTCACCATTTGCAAAAACCTTAAAATGTGGGAAAGGGAAAAAATGTAGTTGATTTAGAAAGGCTTTGATTTTAGGAACTTTAACATCTTATGTTAAATTTCAAAACATGCTTTTAATAAATTTAACTTAAGTTTATTCATTTTTTACAATTTGATGCAACATATCAAAGTCTTCCCTGGACTGCATTACTTTTATCTCAGTTATCATGAACTTTGAGTCTGTGGTAAATGTTTATGAAAACTATTATCAAACTTATAAAACACTGCTTATATCACTCCACAGCTAAAAAGCACTGGCAGCAGGGAAAGAAAAGCAGTCTTCACCAAAACATGGTTGCAAAACGGCATAACTAACATGTGTCCTTATCATTACAGATAAGTACTGCAATAAAACTTATGTTAAAAAAAACAAACAAAAAAAAACATACCAAGACCATTTTTTTCTGGATTGTGATAAAAGATACAAGACTGAAATAAAATAATTAATTAGTAAGTATGTGCATGAACGTGATTTATATGACACCTTTAATGGGTCAGAAACCACAGTGCTTTACAATGAAAACAAACTTGAAAATGCAGAAGAAAAAAACAGTGATAAAACAGAGTACACATAACATGATACAGTATAAAAACTAGTTAAAAGCCACACTGACTAAATGAGTAGTCTACTGCTTCTTAGAAGAATCAACAGGATCAAGACATTCCAAAGCATTTCACAAACTGGAGGCAACCGCTGTAAAAGATCTATCCCCTCTGCTTTAACCATTGCTTTAAATTATTGTAAAAGGTGATTTACAACCTCATCTAATATTGTGTTTACAGACTTTGGAGAATTGCAAAGTCTGTTTCAGGGTTTTTACTCGTACATAAAACCTGAAACAGTAAAGAGTTTACCTGAAACCTAGTCTGAAATAAATTAAATCCAGTTGTAAAGACACATAATCTATGTGGAACTTATGCTTCCACACGAACAGCTATATAACTTTGGTCATTTCCTAAGGGATGTGCTGCATTATTTCCTGAATGTTTCTTTTACCAAGTACTCATGTTCACCTTTGAAGACCTTCAAACATGGTCTTATAACTGATAAGGAGGAATTTTTTGAACGTGTGAGTTCATTGTTCCTGAGAATATCACACATGGGCAATAAAACAGTAAAATTAGATAACTTGAATAACCATCCAACCATCATGAAGAGCTTTAGAAAAACAGATGTCATAAATTTGAGAGATAATTTTCTTTAAATAGCAATACAAAGAAAACTCTCAGTGCGTCCTTGTCAGGCTACAATGGAGAAGCTATTGTGGCTGGGGTGTTTGTATTTTCTGTGCATCCTTGGAAGTCAAGGTAGGGGGGTGAAAAGGCAGGATGACTTTGTGCTTCTTGCAGGCCCCCTGGCACAACCCGAGCTGAGAACCTCCAGCAATGGGGAACATGCTGCCTTTGACTGCAGTCAGCCCATACCAGCCAACTCCAAACTGTATTTTGAGTACCTCCGGAGCAAAGGGGTGACACACTTCAAAGTCCCGCTGTCATGGGTCCAGCTCCTTCCAACGGGCCTCTCAAGCAAACCCCAACCAGGCGTAGTTAGATGCTACCAGACCCTCCTGAAGCAGCTGCTGGAGGAAGGACTGCAGCCACTCATCATCCTTCACGGGTCAGATGTTCCAGAGTCTTTGAGGTCCAGGTATGGCGGCTGGGAAAGTCAGTGGCTGCTAGAGATGTTTCAGCAGTATGCCGAGTTCGCTCTGAAGGAGTTTGGGCCACTGGCACAGTCATGGGTGACATTTAGTGACCTGGATGAGGTTTTGCATGCGGGCCAGGCTGCAGGTGACCACCATCTGCAAAACATCCTCCAGCTCAACAAGATGATTTACCAGTTTTACCATCACAACTTTCCTGGGAATGGTGAGTTATTTTTTTTTACAAAAATGACATGCACTACAGTTATATTGACTTAATATCTATCACAAGGAAAGATCGAAAAAGAATTGCAAATTATCCATGCTTCTTATTGTAATACTGACTAAAGTCAAAGTTATTTAAAAGTATTTCTTCAATGCATTTGCATTTGTGCAGGGAGAAGTCTGTCAATTGTACTGAAAGGAAGAGATGAAGCTGCACTTTCCCAACTTAAAGGTTCAACAACTGTAAGTTGTCTGTTAGTTAGAAGTGAGCAACTAATATTAGTTATAGTGTAATATGAGTTAGACGTGAATAAGAAATAATTTGCTGTGACTAACTTTACTTGATGTCTGCACTTCTTATAAACTTCTTAGGTGTGAATTCCTCTGTGTCTTTATTTGAAATCCAAAACTGAAAGCAAGCAAAAAATAAAATAAATAAAAGAAAAGAAAAGAAAAAAAACTGGATGCATTTTGCCAACTTATTCAGGAAAAACATAACTTCTGTTTTTTATGACTGCAACCCTGTTATCTCCTCACTTCCCATGCTAATTATCATTGCTGTATTAATCTCCGGATCAATACAGGTTGATTTCTTGTCGGTGGACATGGATTTCAGCTGCATTTCTTCTGCAAACTTTGCACAGGAGTTGAAGAACCTACAGGTAAACTACATTCATAGAGGGTTTTTTTTTATGTTTTACATTAAAACTAAACTGCAGCCTCTTGTTATGCTGTAGATTTCCACTGGAAACATGCCAATCCTGATATACAGGCTGACAGTTCATGACTGTTCACACAATGAACAAGAGCCTCTTGGAAACTTGCTGAATGGTATGTGGTGTTCAGTACCAACCAGGCTGACATGAACAAAACAGCTCAACAAAAGTTTAGTCCAAAAATTATAACTGAGCTGTTTTGCTTAGTTTGTAAATCATTACCTTTAATGTAATAAATGGGTCTTTGTATCAGCATCACACCTTAAGATCAACAGATTAAAAACAAGATTGTGTAAAGGCAAAAAGTAAAAGAACTTGAGCAGAGAAGTCAAAATTGCAAATTCATTTAATAATTAAAATCAGTGAAAACAATTTTGCTACAATTACTTTTCATAATGGAGTAACAACTTTTTATGAAGCATTACACAACATATGTACAAATTTTTTTCTTTTTTAATGGCAACCCACCATTTACAATTATAAGGGCCATATTTTCTAAAGCTACTACAACACTGATGTTGTAACGTTCACACTTGATAAAGAAAAAAGACCATTAGATATGAAAGGCAATAGAATTATCTTGAAATGTATCTACTATTCAGTATTTCTCTCCAGATGTTATTTTATAATGTAATGACACCTGAAAACAAACATGAAATAAAAGAAAAATGACAACATAATTAGAGTACCTTAATGAGGCTTAAGAATTAAGGATTTGTAAAGGATTATTAGTGAATGAAATGTTTTGAATAAAGTGAAAAGTGCAATAACTCACCTTAAAATATCACAATTGAGGAAAAGTATTCTTGGATTTATTGCAATGTCATAAGACGGTCATTCTCTCAAACAGTCTTATGGAAAGATGATCTGAATATTATTGGATGCGACATGAAGGATGTGTTGCTGCAGCTGGAGATGCAGGATGCCGTAGACAGGTAAGAAGTAGTTTAAGTAAAACAATTACAAATACATTGACAGCTTTTTCATTCTTATTTATCTTTGATCTTCTAATTTTTTAAAGTGGTACAGCACATTTCAGCAGAAATGGTGAACAAAGTGCTCAGGAAAAAGATATTATCCTCACTAAAGCATTCCCTACTGGCTTCCAATGGGCTACATCCACAGAGTCTTTCAAGGTTGAAGGTGCATGGGCAGCAGGAGGGAAAGGCGAGACCATCTGGGATCGCTTTGGTCATGAAAACCAAGCCTTTAATAATCATAATGCTGACACAGCTGCTGACAGCTACAGGAAGGTCGATGTAGATGTCTACCTCCTGCGAGGTCTTGGAGTCAACACCTACCAGTTCTCCATTTCCTGGGCCCGTATATTCCCCTCAGGTCAGAAAGACAGCCTGAANCATTACTGAAAATTCAGTTGCCACTCCCAGGGAATGGGCTTATGATGAAATTGACAGAGTCTTCCTTTACAAAACCTATATTGATGAGGCTCTTAAAGGTACAGTAATAATTATCAAAAATGTTTGTTGTAAATTACAATGTCTTGCTCATTCACAACTAATTTCTGTTTATTTTCTTATGTCTATCTTAACAGCCTATGAACTTGATGGAGTCAAGGTGAAAGGCTATGCAACATATCTCATGGATTCTTTTCAGTTCGTTTTTGGCTACCTCTTTGGGTTTGGTCTGCACCACGTAGACTTCAATAACCCAAACCGACCCAGAACACCCAAGTTTTCGGCTCATTTCTACTACAATGTTATGAGGGACAATGGTTTTCCATTACCAGAAGATGAAAAGATGATATATGGAGAATTCAAAAAGGATTTCATTTGGAGTAGTGCAACAGCATCATACCAGGTAAAAAAGCTTACATGACAAATATTAAAATATCTTTATCACTTATTGTCAAATCAATGTTGAGATAAAGTTAAATCCCCAAAATGGAAGTTTGTATTCAACTGGTTTCAGGAAGGTGTTTCCTCATTGTTGCATTTTTTTTTTTTTTTTTGAGAATAAACAGTTTATAATAGTTGATAGGATTCTCATCACCGATTTCTAATCACTGGTTTTGACTAGCCCATAACAATACTAATTTGACTCACAAATTAGCATAATACTGAAATTACACAATTCCAGTATTATGCTCAAGCATTCTTGCTTTGGGCTATCAGTGAATAAGAATATTAAGAGCAGATACAACGTCAAACTTTCTTGCTGTTAAATTGGGATTATTATTTACCTAAAACAAATTCTAAATTAAGTCTAAATTTAGATTTGAAAGTGGTATACAGCATATATTATCAGCTAAAACAGAGGTCAGCTCTATTTACTGATTCACTATATGTGTAATCCCCAAAGGATGAAACCGTAGACACTGAAAATCTGAGATTTTCTCTTTCCAGATTGAAGGGGCATGGAGAGAAGATGGAAAAGGTCTCAGTATCTGGGACAAGTTTACACACACCCCTGGAAAAATATCTGAGCATGACACTGGGGATGTGGCTTGTAACAGTTACAATAAGATGGAAGATGACATTGCTGCGTTGAAGAAAGTCAAGGTGTCTCACTATCGCTTCTCCATATCCTGGCCAAGGGTCCTGCCTGACGGTACTACCAAATATGTCAATCAGGCTGGTCTAAATTACTATCAGAAACTGCTGGATTCCCTTATTGCCGCAAACATTCAGCCTCAAGTAAGTATTTATCAAAAATAATAATTAAGAAAAATGTTTTACCTCTTTTACCAACTGTTTTTCTCTTGGATTAGGTCACTTTGTACCACTGGGATCTCCCACAAGCTCTGCAGGATGTTGGAGGTTGGGAAAATGAGACAATCATTGAAAGATTCAAGGAATATGCAGATTTCCTCTTTCAGAATCTTGGTCCCAAAGTGAAACTTTGGATCACTTTCAATGAGCCCTTCATAATAACTGTATTAGGCCATGTCCAAGGTGCACATGCCCCAGGTATGTAAGGTATTTTTAACTGGAATTATACTTTATGCTAAGCATGGTAGATGTCAGACTAATGGACGTTAATCAATGTAGAACTCCTAAGGAAGAAAATAGGCTGCATTTTCAAACATGTATATTTAATTATACTTGCATGATAAACTCTGCATCACCATATTTAATTTTATATTTTCCAGGTTTGAACGACAGACCAGATACTCTTCCATACATTGTAGGCCACAACATAATCAGATCCCATGCAGAGGCCTGGCATGTCTACAATGACAAATACAGAGCCTCACAGGGAGGACTGGTCTCCATCACTGTAAACTCAGACTGGGCAGAACCCAGAAACCCCTACAAGCAAGAGGACTATGAAGCTGCACGGAATGTGGTTGAGGTATATATTATGATTATATAACACAAAACAACTACAATATTTTAAGCGGAGTTGTAGTTGACGATTGCTGTGTGTCAAATTCTGTCCACAGTTTTATCTTGGCTGGTGGGTCCATCCCATTTTTAATGGTGACTACAGCCCACTGGTGAAGAAATCTGTTCTAAAGCAAAGTCTTGCAGGTGGATTGACAAAATCCAGGTACGATCTTTTGTTGTATATTAAAATTCTTTGCACGGTTTGTGATACATGAATACTTATGAAGGGTCTTCTTAAGTTTGTTTTATACTGACTACATCCACTGATGTTTTCTCTCCTATAATTTCTTCTTGAATTTTTCTTCTTAAGGCTTCCTGAGTTTACTCCTGAGGAAATTAAGCGAATTAATGGCACTTATGATTACTTCGGATTAAACCATTACTGCAGTGTCTTGGCATTCCCTGTAGATTATGGATCTTTTCAACACTTTGAGGCAGACAGGTAAGGCCATTAGCTTTGTCACAAAGCAATTTCAAATCAACTTCATGTGGAAATCATCACTATATATTCTTATCACATTTTTCCTAAATATTCTTGAAAAAGTGTCCATGTTTTTAACTTAAACTCTAAATTACATAATTATTCACTTGTCACAGGGGTGTGGTGGTTATTAGTGATCGGACCTGGTTGGAAACCGGTTCTGTCTGGCTGAGGATGACACCATTTGGTCTCCGAAGATTGCTGAAATTCATCAAGGAAGAGTACAGAAATCCTCCAATTATCATCACTGAGAACGGTGTCTCTGAAAATGGGCCAGTTGATCTCAATGACGTTCACAGGAAATACTATTATGAACAGTACATCAACCAAGTGCTGAAAGGTATTAAAACAACTTCATGGCATATGGAGTATATTCAACCTAGAAACTTACATAAGTTAAGATGTAGGACCAACTTGTGTGCTCAAATGAATTTTCTGTTTTCTGCAGCTTATTTGCTTGACGACGTCAATATTATTGGCTACACTGCTTGGTCTCTGCTGGACAACCTGGAATGGGGTGTTGGCTATACAGAGAGATTTGGACTTTTCTATGTGAATCGCACAGACCCTGATCTGCCTCGAACCCCCAAAGCCTCTGTGTCCTATTATTCCTCCATCATCAGCTGCAACGGGTTTCCTGACCCAGCATCTGGACCTCATGAGTGTTGGAACCCTAACCCTACAATTGCTAACCCCTAAGCCTGAAGGTAAACAGATTCAGTGTTTGGAAAGTAAATGATTGAGATGCTCTGATTTCAGGTCAGATCAAAAATTGTCTTGTCAGAATACTTAGTTGGACATATCTACCTTGAACTGAGATCAACTTCACTGTTCAAATTATACCCAGCAGTATAAGTATGCAACTTTACTATCACAAGCAAGCTTATCAAATAATCTATTTTAAGATTTTCAAAATGCATTGTTAATAATACAAAATTTAGGTTCACATTACTGTGATTTATTATTAATAAAGTGTCTATTTTTCTCCCTGCAGTAACAAAAGAGGCAATTCCTGGAATCAACAACGTGAACTTCCTGGGTATGAGCCTCTCCTCTGAAGATGCCGCGACCGGACTTAACACAACATTTGCTTTGCTGATTGTAGCACTTGCTGGAACAATTTGTGTGGCTGTTGGATTGTTTCCAGTAGAAAATTGTAGAGTTAATTGAGGGAGGAAGAGAGATTCTGATTGCAGCTTGACTTCCATCTTTAATGCAGATATGTATGATTTCCATATTTAAATTTAAAGGGCTGAATTTTGCAAAACCACAATTTTCAACAGAGAATTTGGAGTTTTTGAACACTGTATGTTGTCGCTGTTCTATATTTAAAATAATATAATTTATCTATACAACCAAAGGTGCAGAGGAGAACTTATTGCTTACTGGGAGGTCAAGATGAGGGGACCCAGTTTTTTCCATTTGCACTATTTGTGGTATTTAAACTATTTTTGTGCCTCTTTATGATGATTTTCTTGTGTGAACTAAATTTAAGCTAACTGAAGTAAATTACTGGTGAAACCCATGTCAACTGTGTGCAAAACTCTAGATTAGTTCTGCCTATTATATCGGTAGAATGTTTTTGCATATTTTGTGACTTGTGAAATTTTTTTTACCACCATATAAAAAACACTGACCAAGTCACTGTCATACTAACTTATTGTAACATCAAGAACCATTTATCTAATTTTTGTGAGACAAACTGGAAGAAAGCACAACATAAAAGCCAACTAATATCTGATTTCTGCTACTTGTCCTATGAAGCTTCTGTTCAATAAACTTATTGCAACGAACCACACTGTTGCTGTTTTGATTTTGTACACAATCTGTTTCCCTGCAACTATATTACTTTTTTCATTTATTTTGAGATAATGTCTGACTTTGTGTGGTTTTCTTTTTTTACTGCTCCATATCAGTTTGTCTCCCCCTGCTCCTCATGCTTTCTTTATGAACAGCTCATAAGCTAATAGTATTGAAAAAACAAATCCCACTGTTTCAATCTGTCATTTTTAATACAAAAACCCCCAACTAAGTTCAATTTCAATTACCTAGTTAAGAATAATTTCAAATTGAAGGATTGTAAGATGTAAATCCAGCAGATGGCAGCAAACACAACTAGTTTAGATGACTGTCATCTGCTGTAAAGCATCAAGAATTATTAGCTAGTCCCTTGACAGAGTTGTCTTAACTTTTAGGTCCCTGATTGTGGCTTAATGTTTTATCTGTGTTCCTGGACTATCTTTAGATAGTATTTAGACAGTGATTGTCTTAAAAATGTACACTCCTGCTACACAAGGGTTCTGGTTATCTTCCAAATGCAGCTAAAAGGGATAACGGAATGTTTGGAGCATTGGCACAGAGACAACCCAAGAAGTTCATGACTTAAGGTGGAAGCCATGCATCAACTAAACTGAAGCTGTTTCTTATTAACAACAATTTCATTGTTTAAATAGCTATTAGCAAATGCTACCAGTGGCTATATTTCAAACTGAAAACGTAAAACTAGTCCAGTGGTCACACTGCAGTAACCCTAAGTTAACATTTTAATAAGCATCTAGCAGCAGCACATTTTAGGTTCCTCAAACAACATTAGGATGTTATCAATTGGATGAGTCCAGAGTCTGAGTATATCATAAAACTGCAATAAAACACTTATCAAACCCTAATTGTGCAACAATGATATGAGAGCAAAATGTTGTCTAAATAGCTTTGCGATCAGTTGACATTCAGACTGGTTTTCACGAGTCACAATGAACAGGCTGCTGTGGGTTGTGTGTCTGTATTTTTTATGTGTGACTGGTGATTGGAGCAGTCAGGTGAATGGAGAAGACAATTTTATGCTTCTTGCTGGCCCTCTGACTGAGAAGGATCACAGAACCTCCAGCAGTGAGGAAAATGTCTTTGACTGCAGTCATCCCATACCAGCAGCTTCCAAGCAGTATTTCAAGTACCTCCAGACCAAAGGAGTGACCCACTTCAAAGTGCCACTGTCATGGGCAAAACTTCTTCCTACGGGCCTGACCAGCAAGCCTCAACAGGCTGTAGCAAGGTGTTACAAGACCCTGCTGAAGAACTTGCAGGAGCAGGGCTTGCAGCCTCTCGTCATTCTTCATGGATCAACAGTTCCAGACTCTTTGAGGTCCAGGTATGGAGGCTGGAAAAGTCAGCAGCTGCTAGACAAGTTTCAGCAGTATGCTGAGTTTGCTTTGAGAGAATTTGGCCAATTGGCAAACTCATGGGTGACATTTAGTGACCTGGATGAGATTTTGCGTGAAGGACCAGCTGTAGATGGTCCCACTCCTCTCCAAAATATCCTTCAGCTCAACAAGAAGATTCATGAGTTTTATCATCAAAACTTTCCATACGAAGGTATATGAACTCCAGTCCTTTCCTGTCTTGATTAATATTCTTTGTTTGTACATATTTATATAATGTTTTCTAGACTGAATTGTAATTTCCAGCCATGTTAAATTTGTAAATTTTTTGTTTTTACTATGACTAAGATTTAACTTATCAAGAAAATTGTTTCACAGTCAGCTGATATTGGCCGCAGTGATATTACTTTACTACTTAGCTGATAACACAGAATGTTTTTCCACGTTATCTCAGTAATCAGTCCATGTGAGTTGCATCAAGATATCTCCTAAGCAGTCTTTCCAAAACCTGAATTTCTGCAATCATCAGCTAGAAAGATTAAATATATTACATGAAGTGTTAATAGGTTTTCTTCCTGTCATTTTTTCTATACAGGGAGACGTCTATCATTTGGGCTGAATGCAAAACATGTGGATCAACTTTCCAATCTTAAAGCTTTCACAAATGTAAGCTTCTTCTGTATTTACAGTGCACATCAGGTCCCACTGCCCTAAAACGAAACTTAATCTCAAACAATGACAATATTACTCCTTTTTGCAATATATAGAACATAATATAGCTAAGATTTATTGACTGCCATTGTGTGCACAAAACAGTACAATGAAAGTTAGTTGGCACTAATTGTCAAAGAACTAAAATTTATGGAATAAGTAGATTTAATTAATAAATATCATTAGAAAATGTTAGAATAATAATATATATTCAGCCAGTGTATTTATGTGTCCTGTGTCTGACAGTCAAAAGTCTCTTTGGGATCCTAACTTAACTTGTGTGCCTCTTATCTGCCTGATGAATGGTGGAGAATTATGAGTTGGTTTAGGATGCTCTTCACCTGCTTGTGCCGGTGGTTTCCAAGCCTGCTTCTCAGGCACCACTGTGCTGGATGCTTTAGGTATTTCTCTATTCAAGTACATCTGATTCAAGTGACTGCACAGCATTCACAGCATGCCATCAAGTTCTGCAAAAGCCTGACAATCATCCAAACATGTAGGTAATATGTGCAGTAGCAAGAAACATGTAGGACAATGGTCCCTGAGGACCCTTTAACTTTTTATTTTAAGAATTTGTAGCTTGAGTATTGAGCCTTGACTTTACAAAAACCTTAATAGTTGCCAAAAAAAGTTAAAAGTTTTCTGTATTAAATGCAGTCCATTCATTGGTCACAAACCAAAAACCTAAACTGACTTAAACCCATGGAGAACATAAAAGGCAGCCGTAATTTGGTTATTTCCCCTCAGAGAAAGCAAAGAAAAACAAGCACATTTCCATTTGCTACCCCCAGTACAACAAGTCTTAGTGTGGTATTTTGATTTTTTTTGTATTATTGGTGTGTGACAACTCTCATGTGTTATTGTATGTTTGGCACAGGTGGATTTCTTATCCGTGAACCTTGAATATAACTGTGCCTCCTCAAAGAGTTTTGCACAAGAGTTGAGAAACTTGCAGGTACTGCAAACATTCTAATGTTTTTAGGACCATTGTGGATTTTCTTGTTTGCATTTTATCTTTATAAATATAAATATACAATGTTGCAATGTTGTGTTCTAGACATCTACTGGAAATTTGCCAATCTTGCTATATAAGATGCCAGTTCGTGACTGTATCCCGAGTGAACACCAGCTTCTTGGAGATTTATTACAAGGTAGGTATCACGCTGGTCAACACATTTTATAGCTTCTTTCTAAATTATCAATAGCATTAATTAAATTACTACTGTTGGACATTTTACACAGGGTGAGTGTTTAATTATTACCCTTGAACCTAAGCAATTATTAGGTAGAAAATAAAGAGTGTTCATAACATTCTTTCTGTGATGTTTGAAAGGAACAAGCTTAATGGTTAAACTCTAAATACCTGCAATGTGGTAGTTTTTTACAGAACAAAAATTTACCTTTTAAGTAGTGTCATTTTATAACAGTAACTAGTGCAAAATCAGCCTTTTATTATCAGTCAGTCAAGTTCCACAAGGAAGACTATTTGCATGGTGGAGAAAAACTTTGGAGCTTTACAGCAAGGCCAGTAAATATTTATGGCTTAAGCTATGATTGTTGCAGGATAATAACAAAAACTGATTAGATAACATTGAGGTGAAAGCCTTACTGCTAAACTTGAACAGATTACTCTTAAATTGGTCATTTGAAGGAAGGACTCCATAATTAAGCCATATGTCAAAAATATTTCTGTCCTTTCATTTCACCTGTATTGTGACAGTTTTATGGACCAACAGTCTGAATATTATGGGATGTGACATGAAGAATGTGTTGGATGAGTTGGACATGCAGGATTCTCCAGTCAGGTAATAGATGTTTTTACAGATTTATATGGTTTGACCTTTTCCCTTATAATTTTAATAGTTTCCATTCCTTTCCCCAAAACTTCTTATTTCCAAATATTTAATCAGCAGGCACGAATTCAGGACGAGTTATGAAAACATCTTGCATAAATTTGGAGACCAAGCCAGCGATGATAAAGACCTCCTCACTAAAACATTTCCCCCGGGTTTCCAATGGGCAACGTCATCAGAATCTTTCAAGGTTGAAGGTGGTTGGTTGGAAGGGGGAAAAGGAGAGACTATTTGGGATCATTTTGGTCATGAAGGTCAAGCTTTTGCAAATCATACCACTGATCTTGCTTGTGACAGTTATAACAAAGTTGATATAGATGTCTACCTCCTGCGAGGTCTTGGAGTCAACACCTACCAGTTCTCCATTTCCTGGGCCCGTATATTCCCCTCAGGTTACAAAGACAGCCTGAATGAAGAAGGAGCTCTCTACTATGACAATCTGATCAATGCTCTGATTGAATCTGGCATACAGCCTGTTGCCACTATCTACCATTGGGATCTGCCTCAGGCTCTCCAAGACAAGGGTGGATGGACCAACCCGTCCATTGTTGCAGCTTACAAAGACTATGCAGCCTTCTGCTTCCATAGATATGGAAACAGGGTCAAGAGCTGGAACACATTCAGTAGTCCCTGGGTGGTGAGCCATGCTGGACATGGGACTGGTGAGCATGCTCCTGGAATAAAAGACTATGTGACTGCTTCTTATCAGGTAAACATAGTGGTATCACCACATCAAAACCTTTCAAACATGTCTAAATTTTGTGTAGGCTATAACCCTTCACTTTTTAATTCTTATTTCTACAGGTCACTCATAATATACTGAAATCCCATGCTGAAGCCTGGCATGTCTACAATGACAATTACAGAAAGACACAGGGAGGGAAAGTAGGCATTGCACTAAACTCTGACTGGGCAGAGGCACCTGATCCTAACAAACCTGAAGATAAGGCAGCTGCAGAGCGCTACCTCGAGTTTATGCTAGGCTGGTTTGCCCATCCTATCTTCATAGATGGGGATTATCCTGAAGTTCTCAAAACACAGATAGAAAAGAAAAGAAATGAGTGTCCCTCATCTGCGCCAGCAGTGCTTCCAGCTTTCACTGAAGAAGAGAAGGCGAGGATCAAAGGAACTTCTGACTTTTTTGGTCTGAATCATTATACCTCCCGTTTAGTGAGCAGCAGTGTAGGTGGGTGCACCCCTGGTCCTGAAGGAGTTGGAGACTTCCAGGCTAAAGTGGACCCCTCATGGCCTGCTACAGCATCAGACTGGATCTACTCCATGCCCACAGGGCTACGGTCTCTTCTGAACCACATAAAAACAAAATATCTAACATATAACAATGTGCCCATTTACATAACTGGGAATGGCATGCCAACGGATGACACCTTCAATGACACTAGCAGAATAGAGTACATGAGAGATTACATCAGTGAGGCCCTAAAAGGTTTGTGCCTATCTTTTCTTTAATACTTGGCATCTGTTTAGCTGAGAGAAACCAACCATACATTTTATATGTTGTCTCCTGTTTTCATTTTACAGCTATTGAAATCGATAAAGTGGATGTGCAGCGATTCACAGTGCAATCACTTATGGATGGATTTGAGGGAAATAAAGGGTACAGTGAAAGATTTGGACTTCACCAGGTTAATTTTGTAGATGGATACAGACCAAGAACACCAAAACAATCAGCATATTTTTTTGCTCAGATCATCGAGCAAAATGGTTTTGTTTCACGCAAACAAGATCATTTTGAAGGTGTGAAAATATCACCACCTCGCCGCTCCACCCCACTGCCACCCTCAGAGGTCCCATCAGCATCAAAGGCTGTCTGGGAAAAATTTACACCACAGAAAAAGTTTGACAGACAAATGTATCACTATGGCAATTTCTCACAAGACTTCTTATGGGGCGTCTCATCTTCAGCTTACCAGATTGAGGGTGGATGGAATGCGGAGGGGAAAGGACCCAGTGTATGGGATACATTCACTCAGAAGCCAGGTAGTGAAATTCCTGAAGATGTAAATGGAAATGTTGCCTGTGACAGTTACAATAGACTTGATGAAGACCTTTACATGCTGCAAGCCTTAAAAGTGAAGTCATACAGATTTTCTTTGTCATGGTCCAGAGTCTTTCCCAATGGTAGACGTGAATCCATGAACCAAAAGGGTGTTGATTATTACAACAGACTTATTAATGGCCTCTTGGCCAGAAAAATCACCCCAATGGTCACAATTTATCACTGGGACCTCCCGCAAGCTCTACAAGACATTGGTGGCTGGCAGAATGTAGAGATGGTTGACATTTTTAATGATTATTGTGACTTCTGCTTTGCCACCTTTGGTGACAGAGTAAAATTCTGGATGACCATGAATGACCCTCAAGGACTGGCATGGCAAGGATATGGGACTGGACAAATCCCTCCAAACATTAAGGAGCCAGGAACAGCACCATACCAAGTTGCACATAACTTAATCAAAGCTCACGCTACAGCATATCACACGTACGATGACAAATACCGCGCTTCTCAAAGAGGTATGGTTTCCATTGCCCTTAAAGCAGATTGGGTTGAACCTAAAGACATCAATGTTCCTCGTGATCTTGTTGCTGCTGACCGTGCAATGCAGTTCCACGTGGGTTGGTTTGCCCACCCGATTTTCAAGAATGGGGACTATCCAGAGGCCCTGAAAGCCCAAGTTTTGGTCAAAAGTGAACTCCAAGGTCTTTCACAATCAAGACTCCCATCTTTCACAGAGGAGGAAAAGAACTTGATCAAAGGAACTGCTGACATGTTCTGTGTGAATCACTACACCACCAGGCTAGTAACCCATATCACGGGTCTGCTGTCTCCACATTCCTATCAAAATGACTGGGACTTCACAGAAGAACAAGATAGTGGTTCACCAGCTACAGCCATCAAAAACCAGAGAGCTGTATCATGGGGCCTACGGAGACTCCTGAATTGGATCATGGAAGAGTATGGAGACCCTGAAATTTACATAACTGATAATGGTGGGGCTACAACAGCAAAAACGTCTTGGGATGACATTGACAGAGTGTTTTTTTACAAGACTTACATCAATGAAGCTCTTAAAGGTACCTTATATTCAAATGCTTTGGATAACATTTTGAAGCTGACATACTGTACTTGATTCTAGTCTTGATCATTCATTTATATTTATGTTTCTCATAATTACAGCCTATGAACTAGATGGAGTATTGCTAAAAGGCTACACAGCAACATCTCTCATGGACTCCTTTGAGTGGTTAAATGGCTATACAGTTGGCTATGGGTTCTACCATGTCGACTTCACTGACCCAAACAGACCAAGAACACCCAAGCTGTCAGCTCATTTTTACTTCCAACTCATGAAAGACAATGGTTTCCCCATAACAGAAGATGAGAAGATGCTGTATGGAGAGTTTCCTCAGGATTTCCTTTGGAGTAGTGCCACGGCAGCTTACCAGGTAAGATGAGAGAACCCAAATTTATTTGTCTTGAAATAAATTTGTTCCCTTTGTTTATTGTTCTTCCTTTACTATTTTTAGATTGAGGGTGGATGGAGAGCTGATGGAAAAAGTCTCAGCATCTGGGATAAATTTGCTCACACGCCACTCAAAATCTTTGACAGTGACAATGGGGACATCGCTTGTGACAGTTACAATAAAATAGATGAAGACATTGCTATATTGAAGCAACTTGGGGTTAACCATTATCGTTTCTCTATATCCTGGACGCGGGTACTTCCTGATGGCACAACAAATCACATCAATGAGGTTGGATTTCGCTATTATGACAGACTGGTGGATGCGTTGCTTGCTGCAAACATCCAGCCTCATGTAAGTTTAGCTTGTTTTGCTCCCCGATATAGAGTTTACAACAAATATATCCAAATACTCAAAAGTGTTTATTTATTTTCTTTCAGATAACTTTGTACCACTGGGATCTTCCACAAGCTCTGCAGAATGTGGGAGGTTGGGAGAATGACACTATTGTCCAAAGATTCAGGGATTATGCTGATGTTATGTTCAGCCGTCTTGGAGATAGAGTGAAACTTTGGATCACCATTAATGAGCCATATAACGTAGCAATGATTGGACATGGATACGGAGTAGCCGCCCCAGGTATGGTTTTCTTGCAGTGTGCCCTAACAAAATAAAAAATATTTTGTGGTGGTAAGGAGTAAGAAAAACGCCAAAGACAGGAAGACTAACTGCATCTAACCCAGATTGTTTTTTCAGGTATTAGTTTCCGTCCAGGTACTCTTCCCTACATTGTTGCTCATAACCTTATCAAAGCTCATGCTGAAGCATGGCACCTTTACAATGACAAATATCGGGTTAGACAGAATGGAAAAGTCTCTATCACCATCAACTCTGACTGGTCTGAGCCCAGAAACCCCTATAAGCAAGAGGACATTGACGCAGCAAGACGTATAATACAGGTAAACCAAGTCCTGTCACATTCTTCACAAAATATTATTGTTCTTCTGTTTTGAGACATTGATGATTTGTGCATCTTTGTGCAGTTCTACATTGGGTGGTTTGCCCATCCCATATTTAATGGTGACTACAGTGAAATGATGAAGACAATCATTCGGGAACGCAGTCTTGCAGCCGGATTGACTAAATCACGGTACCACAAAAAAACCAAAGAAAAACTACTGTTATCAGCTCTGCTAGATATATTATTTTTTTAACACCTCTAGTGTATATCTGACCACATACCTTTTTTAATTTTCTGCAACCTGTGATTTCCAAAAGCTAGTTTGTGTTGTATGTTCCACGGGATTCCCTTTTCCCATTTGGTTTAAATTGAAGCTAAAACTTTAGAGAACCAATTTTCCACCTAAATTAAAGTCAATTTTATATTCTCCAGGCTACCTGAATTTACCCCAGAGGAAATAAAGAGAATTAAGGGAACCCATGATTATTTTGGATTCAACCATTACACCACTGTCCTGGGATTCCCTGTTGAGTATGGAAATCTTCAGCATTATGATGCAGATAGGTGAGTAAGAACTTACACATAGCAATTGAGAACGTGCATTGAATATGTTTTAAAATTTAAATAAACACGTGAACTCTGGACTATCCATAGGGGTGCAGGGACCTATGTTGATCGTACCTGGCTAGATTCTGGTTCTAGCTGGCTGAAGATGACACCATTTGGGTTGCGCAGAATATTGAACTTTATTAAGAAGGAGTATGGAAATCCTACGATTATCATCACTGAGAATGGGGTCTCAGAGCGTGGGCCCACAGATCTTAAAGATTCTCACAGGAGTTACTTTTATGAAAAATATATTAACCAAGTGCTGAAAGGTATTAAAAGAAATTAATTGAACATACTATGTTTTCTATGATGGACAAAATAAAAAATAATTATTATTTCTATCATAAAAAGATTAATTATGTTCTTCCAGCTTACCAGCTTGATAATGTGGATGTCCAAGGCTATACAGCATGGTCACTCATGGACAACCTGGAGTGGGCCACTGGCTTCTCAGAGAGATTTGGACTTTTCTATGTCAATCGCTCTGACCCCAATGTGCCTCGAGTGGCCAAGGAATCTGTGTCTTTCTTCTCCACCATCATCAACTGCAATGGGTTTCCCGACCCTGCATCAGGACCTCACGATTGTCTGAAGCCTGAACCTGAAGGTAATTGTAGAAGATTATAAACATTTTGGTAATATATGTCTTTGATAACCGTGTGAAAAAATATAGTTTAAATTTTACCTAAAACTTATTTTTTTCAGCAACAAATGCTCCAGAAAATGACAATTCAGTGAACTTTCTGGGTCTAGAGCTATCCGCTGAAGAAGCTGAAACCGGACTCAACACTACATTTGCTCTGCTGCTTGTGGCAGCAACTGGAGCCATTTGTTTGTCCATCGGTTTCTTTCTCACTAAAAGACGATCAAAATAAAATCATAAAGTTGAAATTGTACCTGTAACTACCATTCAGACATTTATTTTAGCATTTATGTGAATATTTGTAAAGTCTACATAAAAAACCATAATCAACAAACATGTAATATTGCAACTAACACTGCATGTTTTGGATGATTCAATTATTTTAATTCAATGGGCTTTTTACAACACAAGTAAACTGATATTAAAATGTTTTTGTATGCAAATGTTTATATAGCTAGAAGTGTGATAAAGTGTCTTGAAACATTCAACTAGAGTGTTCAAATATGACATTTTTAATTAAGATATGTAACATTTAATAAAGACAACAAAGACAGTTATGGTGTTCTACAGATATTGTGCTTCCTTTAATTTTTGTTGCTACAAAAATGATGCATGTTGCTATGCAACAAGTGGGAAGCTAGGTATCATATGTATTATTATGCTAGATGTTCAAAATGTAACATTGTTCATTTTATACTCCAATAATAGTGGGTGATACGGATATAACTGTTGTGAAGTTCATGTCTTTTTGTAAGCAATTTTAGTCATCCTGGCTGTTATTTTTTTAAAAGCACTAACACAGGCAAAATATGGAAACACCACATTTTTCAAAACGTGAAAATGTAAACATTCCAGAGCAACAGAACTTTAAATATTATAAGTAATAGCCCTTAAAAAAACATAGATATCAGGTGTTGGCAACATTACTTAATTGGGGTGGCTTTTATTCAGTTTTAGATTGGTAAACACGTCCTGCCCTGCTATCCTAACAATATTGAGGTTGTGTGTCACAGACTGTCCACAAGAGGGCAGAGCAGTACTGGTACAAGTTTATTATTTTTGACCAGTTCTATCAAAAGACAATATAATTCAGCAGAAAATAAAAACTACATTTTGTAAAGAAGCACTTTTGCTGGATAGTTCCTGCAGAGACAGCAGCTATTTTGTGGGAAGACACTGAATTCAAATTAATTCAAATATTACCTTCAGCAAATAATTCATAGATAATGTCAAACCTTTAATAAAACCTGTGTAGCTGCAGGTGATGATCAGTCAGATCTAATAGATGCAGGGAAGCGGTTCGGGTCTAGTCTCAGGAGAATGAGGTTAAATGTTTTTGCGTTTGCAGGAAATGGGGAGGTTGCAGCAGTTTGAGAGACGGCTGGTTTGAAGAAGCCACGTGATGAATCATACTTCCTCTAAGAGTTAGGCCTCAACTATTTGTGTCTCTTCATTTACATTTTGCACATACGGGGATGGCGAGTACGAGGTAAGACTGCTCAACTCAACTCTTCAGCTTCTAGACTCTTATATCTTCAAAAGACCTTTTTTAAATATCTACTGTCACCTCTGGATGCATAAAATAAAATTTAAATTTAGTGTAACTGAAATGCTGACAGGTTTAACATTTCCTCATACACAGACATCTGCAGTGTTCTTACACTTAAAGATCTGATGTCAGCTTCTGAATTACATTTTTCTGTTGGGGAAGAAACACGATAGGATCATTTAATTTTGTAGTTTTTATTTGAATTTGTTTTATAAAGACCTCATGCATGACTAAAGTATCAGCTTCCGTTGTTTGGACGGTTTCAGTCAGTTTCCGGTTAATGAAGCCTCTTCTCTCTTTCACTTAGTTCAGGGGCCATTATGAGGAACGGATCATTGTTGTGTTCCTGGCGTCTATAAATTATTTATCAGATTCAAGATGAACAAATTTAATTTTATGAAGGAGGAAAAGGCACTGTTAATAACATTTACTTCAAAGCTAAATACATTTTGATCAAATAAATAAATCCAATATTCTACTTTAACATGCAATAAAAAAAATCAGCATCAGAAAGATTAATATACAGCATGTGGGAGTCTGGGATGCTCAATATAAATCACTTATTACTTCCTTATAGCTTCTGTCGGCAGCATAACCTATGGAGCTTTTTCTAATGTTCTTCAGGACAAGGCATCTTTATCTGATCATAATGGACCGAGTCGAAAAAGTACAAACAAGCTCTCAGAAAAGTAGATGTAGGAGAGAGATGAGTAATAGTGATAAACTGACAACATGCTTATAAAAACATGCAACCAGTAACTGAGGACATCTGGGGGCAGAGATGGAAACAAAGCCCTCAAACTAACATCACTGCTATAAAAGGTGAAATTCTTGTAAGTTTGAAATCAGATGTTTACAGACACATCACAAAATGACAAATAAAAAAAAATCACTGTGAAAATCAGGATAAACGTTTCCTGTCTTCAGTTAGGTTAACAGAATGGTTTCTATTTCCTTAATGGCAGAATAATGAGAGATTTCTTTAAGCTTTCTTCCTATTCAAAAGTTTACACAGTGCCCTAGTTTTTTGTGGCTTTGCCTTTTAACTGCATGATTTGGGACAGACATGTTGAGTACGTTTCAACAAGTTTCTCATGCTAATTTCTCTGGCACTTGGTGTAACATAGTCAGGTTTGTTGGTTTTCTTGCTCAAAAATGCCATTTCAGTTCTCCCCACGGATTCTCTGTGGGGTTGAGATCGAGCTAATGGCCACTCCAACATGACTCTGCTGTCTTTAAGGCACTGCGTAACTAATTTGGTGATAGTACTATGGTGATTGTTCACTCACTTGCAACCACAATCGAATTTCCTGGCTGATTGTTAAAGAGTTTTACTTCAATATTTCCACACAATGCTATTTCCCCATAATGTGATCTATATTGTGTGAAGTGCACCAGTCCCTCCTGCAGCAACCCTCATGCTACCTCATACTTCACAGTCAGGATTGTGCTCCAGCTCACATCCATCCTTCAATCTAAATATGATCATTATGGTCAAGTGCTTCAGTTTTGTTTCCCTCAAACCACAGAACATGGTGCGAAATCTTTATTTTTGCCCTGATTTGGGCCTTATCGGGCCTTAATGTTGCTTTTAGACGAAGGCCGTCTTCCTCGCCGTTTATATTCTACTTATTTTGTGGCAACTTCAACAATAGTAATATTAATGCACGTAATCTGATTTTGGAGATACGACAAAATTCGTCTAAAATACCTCTGTCTCTCATTGTTTGGAGATTTGCCACATAGCAAAACTTTTGGTTATTATACCTGACCTAAAACAGGAAACATTTAATCTGATTCAATGTCAGGCAGTGAAAGGAAAGTTTGTTATGTAATGTTATGTAAATGTCTGGTTTCATGTGTTTGTCTGAAGTGGTGCAATGTTTGTAGCAGAGCAGCACCAGAATATACAAAAAGAATCTAAAAGACCCACAAATAGAGAAAATAAAGAAATGACCAGATATAATAATAGAACGACTGAAAGAGTAATCAAAAATTATACTTTAAAAAGTTCTAGAGCTATAGATACATCAACTTAAGATTTTTACTACAGTGAAAGAAAAAGTGATTAGTCGTCTGAAAAAAGTACCTTTGTCTGGTTTGTAAAACTAACTTGAATCAAAATAAGAAACATTTCCTTAAAAACAAGACAAAAATGTTTTTATTGTTGTTGCTACTATTTTCACTGATGTGTTTTGCTTTAAACTTCATATAATTCTGATAAATCTCTTTTTACTGAGAACTTGAGTTTAAGTTGTACAAGTAGAAACATCACTTCTCCCAACACATTTAACCGTCATTTAGCCTCTACTGTTCAGTAACCTACACAGTTTAATGTTTACACATTTTTTGCAACACTGAAGTGAGAGAACCGCAAGAAACCACAAGATTTACTAAAATGATTTAAAATGTCTGTTGTGTGAACTAAAAATATGAGGCGAGTATCTCGACGTTGTCACTTCATGTTTTCCTCATTTGAACGCTGTTAAAAGACCCATTGTCATCTCATTAAAATGTAGACTGTTTGGGTCTGCATCTTTTTTGGTGTCATCTCCAAACTAATAATGTCTGCTGTAATTTTTAATTTCTGTCTTTCTTTTGTCTAATATCCATTTAATCTGGGTGACATCGACATCCTTGTCTTTTGTACTTTCTGTGTTGATCTGCATTGCACCTGCGGAAAATATAAACTATTAATATAACTATTAATAATATAACAGCTAATATGCTAAAATTGTATGTGGCCGAAACTCAAGGGTCAGGTTGAGTCACACAAAATATATATATTTTGGGTGTGTGTATATATATATATATATATATATATATATATATATATATATATATATATATATATATTTTTTTTTTTTTTTTTTATTTTTTTTTAACTTTTTTTTTTTTTTTTTTTAACAAACACCTTNCTGGTTTGCCCATCCTATCTTCATAGATGGGGATTATCCTGAAGTTCTCAAAACACAGATTGCAAACAAAGCTAAAGAGTGTCCCTCATCTGCGCCAGCAGTGCTTCCAGCTTTCACTGAAGAAGAGAAGGCGAGGATCAAGGGAACATCTGACTTTTTTGGTCTGAATCATTATACCTCCCGTTTAGTGAGCAGCAGTGTAGGTGGGTGCACCCCTGGTCCTGAAGGAGTTGGAGACTTCCAGGCTAAAGTGGACCCCTCATGGCCTGCTACAGCATCAGACTGGATCTACTCCATGCCGGAGGGGCTACGGTCTCTTCTGAACCACATTAAAACAAAATATCTAGCAGTTAACAATCTGCCCATTTACATAACTGGGAATGGCATGCCAACAAATGACAGTGGAGACACCCTGAATGATGTTAGCAGAATAGAGTACATGAGGGGTTACATCAGTGAGGCCCTAAAAGGTTAGTGCTTGTAATTTCTGTATTATTTGCCATCTGCTTAGCAGAAAGAAACCAACCATAACTGTTTAATATTGTCTTCTGTTTTCATTTTACAGCCATTGAAATCGATAAAGTGGATGTGCAGCGATTCACAGTGCAATCACTTATGGATGGATTTGAGGGAAATAAAGGGTACAGTGAAAGATTTGGACTACATCATGTAAATTTTGAAGATGGAAACAGACCAAGAACACCAAAACAATCAGCATATTTCTTTGCTCAGATCATCGAGCAAAATGGTTTTGTTTCACGCAAACAAGATCATTTTGAAGGTGTGAAAATATCACCACCTCGCCGCTCCACCCCACTGCCACCCTCAGAGGTCCCATCGGCATCAAAGGCTGTCTGGGAAAAATTTACGCCACAGAAAAAGTTTGACAGACAAATGTATCACTATGGCAATTTCTCACAAGACTTCTTATGGGGCGTCTCATCTTCAGCTTACCAGATTGAGGGTGGATGGAATGCGGAGGGGAAAGGACCCAGTGTATGGGATACATTCACTCAGACCCCAGGTAGTGGTGTTCCTGATAATGTGACTGGAGACATTGCCTGTGACAGTTACAATAAACTTAAAGAAGACCTTTACATGCTGCAAGCCTTGAAAGTGAAGTCATATAGATTTTCTCTGTCATGGTCTAGAATCTTTCCCAATGGTAGACGTGAATCCCTGAACCAAAAGGGTGTTGATTATTACAACAGACTTATTAATGGCCTCTTGGCCAGAAAAATCACCCCAATGGTCACAATTTATCACTGGGACCTCCCGCAAGCTCTACAAGACATTGGTGGCTGGCAGAATGTGCAGATGATTGACATTTTTAATGATTATTGTGACTTCTGCTTTGCCACCTTTGGTGACAGAGTAAAATTCTGGATGACCATGAATGACCCTCAAGGACTTGCATGGCTAGGATATGGAACTGGACAAATCCCTCCAAACATGGAGGAGCCAGGAACAGCACCATACGAAGTTGCACATAACTTAATAAAAGCTCATGCTACAGCATATCACACATACGATAAGACATACCGCGCTTCTCAAGGAGGTATGGTTTCCATTGCCCTCAATGCTGAATGGGTTGAACCTAAAGACATCAATGTCCCTCGTGATCTTGTTGCTGCTGACCGTGCAATGCAGTTCCATCTGGGCTGGTTTGCCCACCCAATCTTCAAGAATGGGGACTATCCAGAGGCCCTGAAAGCCCAAGTTTTGGTCAAAAGTGAACTCCAAGGTCTTAAAACATCAAGACTCCCATCTTTCACAGAGGAGGAAAAGAACTTGATCAAAGGAACTGCTGATATGTTCTGTGTGAATCACTACACTTCTAGAATAGTAACCCATGTTACAGGTGCAATTTTGCCACCATCCTATCAAAATGACAGAGACTATACAGAAGAAGAGATGACTGATCAACCAACAACAGCAATTGAATTCACAAGAGCTGTATCATTTGGCATGAGAAGGCTCCTCAACTGGATCAAGGAAGAATATGGAGATCCAGATATTTACATTACTGAAAATTCAGTTTCTACTCCTATGGAATATGCGTATGATGATATTGACAGAGTATTTCTTTACAAAACCTATATTGATGAGGCTCTTAAAGGTACAGTAATAAATATCAAAAGATGTAGTATATTACAATGTCTTGATCATTCACAACTAATTTTTAATTTTTACCTCTATCTTAACAGCATATGAACTTGATGGTGTCAAGGTGAAAGGCTATGCAACATATCTCATGGATTCTTTTCAGTTCTTCCATGGGTACCAGTTAGGGTTTGGTCTCCACTACATAGATTTCAATAACATACACCGACCAAGAATACCTAAGTTTTCGGCACATCTCTACTACAATATTATGAAGGATAATGGCTTTTCATTACCAGATGATGAAAAGATGTTATATGGAGAATTCAAAAAGGATTTCATTTGGAGTAGTGCAACAGCATCATACCAGGTAAAAAATCTTCCATGACAGATATAATCCAAATGCTGTTATCACTTATATCAAATCAAGTTCATGTCAGGTTAACTACCCAGACTGATATCACAATGGTGATCTGGAAATTAAAACCAGAGGTTAAAAGGTCAATAAATGTATTCCTTTGTATTTTGGTTTTAGTCCTTGTTTTTGCCACCCCACACAAAAAACCTTCCAGATATTCTGCAACAAGAAATTAGACACATCTTCAGTTCTGATTTTCCTGTTTACAGATTGAAGGGGCATGGAGACAAGGTGGAAAAGGTCTCAGCATCTGGGACAAGTTTACACACACTCCTGGAAATATACTTCAGCATGACACTGGGGACATTGCTTGTAACAGTTACAATAAGATGGAAGATGACATTGCTGCACTGAAGAAAGTCAAGGTGTCTCACTATCGCTTCTCCGTGTCCTGGCCAAGGATCCTGCCTGACGGTACTACCAAATACATCAATCAGGCTGGTCTAAATTACTACAAGAAACTGCTGGACTCCCTTATTGCTGCAAACATTCAACCTCAAGTAAGTAACTCTCCTAAAATATTAATTAAGAAAAATGTTTTACCTTTGTTACGAACTGTTTTTCTTTTGGATCAGGTCACTTTGTACCACTGGGATCTCCCACAAGCTCTACAGGACGTTGGAGGTTGGGAAAATGAGACCATTATTGAACGATTCAGGGATTATGCAGATGTTCTCTTTGAGAATCTTGGTCCCAAAGTGCAACTTTGGATCACTTTCAATGAGCCCTTCATAATAGCAATATTAGGCCATGTCCAAGGCACACATGCCCCAGGTATGTATAATATTCTAAACCAGAACTGCATTTTATTTTTAGAAAGTTTCAACATATCGAAGGTCAGACTTTTGTCAATGTAGTACTTCTAAGTAAGAAAATATTCTGCATTTACTGGCAGAATGTCTGAATTACATCTACATTAGAAAATCAACATCAGTTTTTTTTGTGTTTTTTCAGGTTTCAGTGACCGACCAGATACTCTTCCTTACATTGTAAGTCACAACATAATCAAAGCCCATGCAGAAGCCTGGCATGTCTACAATGACAAATACAGAGCCTCACAAAATGGAATGGTCTCCATCACTGTAAATGCGGACTGGGCAGAACCCAGAAACCCCTACAAGCAAGAGGATTATGAAGCTGCACGAAGTGTGGTTGAGGTATATATTGTTCTGTCACTGTTTAACAGAAAACCTTGTGAAGTAATGTTTTTGATGATTTTTGTGTGTCAAACCCTATCCACAGTTTTATCTTGGCTGGTATGCGCATCCCATTTTTAATGGTGACTACAGCCCTCTAATGAAGAGATCTGTTCTAGAGCAAAGTCTTGCAGGTGGTTTGACAAAATCCAGGTAAAAACTTGGGTTCTATTTTTCAATGCTGTGGACAAACCATAAAGTTTGTCCAAAGGAATCTCTATGCAGGTTCTTCTTAAGTTTGTTTTACCCTGACTACATACACTGATGTTTTCTGTCATACAACTTCTTACATTTTTCATTTTTCCAAGGCTTCCTGAGTTTACTCCTGACGAAATTAAGAGAATTAATGGCACATATGATTATTTTGGATTAAACCATTACTGCAGTGTCTTGGCATTCCCTGTAGACTTTGGGGAAATTCAGCACTTTGAGGCAGACAGGTAATGCATTTTAAAAGCCAGCTTTACAATTAAATAATGACTTCATATACTTTTATCAAAATTTTCTAAAATTGTTGTTAAAAGTGTCCAGGATTTTTTAATAAGCTAAATCCTGGACTAATTCCTGTTTCAGGGGCGTGGTACTTCTTAGAGATCGTACCTGGTTGGAGTCAGGTTCACACTGGCTGACAATGACCCCATTTGGTCTCCGAAGATTGCTGAAATTTATTAAGCATGAGTTCGGAAATCCTCCAATAATCATCACTGAGAACGGTGTCTCTGAAAACGGACCAGTTGATCTCAATGACGTTCACAGGAAATACTTCTATGAAAAGTACATCAACCAAGTGCTGAAAGGTATTAAAACAACTTCATGGAATATCTAAGGACATCTAAGATACTTCTGTCTAAGAAGAAAGCAAATCTATGGTCTGAATAAAATCTGTTAAGGCCTTCATCAAATATTCAAACTTGCATAAATAAATATCAATTTCTAGTTTTTGTGTATTATAAAAGTTTCTTTTTTCTGCAGCTTATTTGCTTGATGACGTGAATGTCATTGGCTACACTGCTTGGTCTCTGCTGGACAACCTGGAATGGGCTGTTGGCTATACAGAGAGATTTGGACTTTTCTATGTCAATCGCTCAGACCCTGATCTCCCTCGAACCCCCAAAGCTTCTGTGTCCTTTTACTCCTCCATCATCAGCTGCAACGGGTTTCCCGACCCAACAACTGGACCTCATGAGTGTTGGAACTCTACCCCTACAGCTATCCCTACCTCTGCTCCTACCACTACATCTACCACTGAATCTACCACTACATCTACCACTGAATCTACCACTGAATCTACCACAACTCCTAAACCTGAAGGTAAGGTGATCTGATTCCAGATCAGATCAAAATGCTCTTAAATAAAAATGCAAAGTTGGACATGTGATTGATATCAACTTTACTGATCAAAATAACCCCAACAATAGGTTTGGGAAAATTTACTAGCACAAGCTAGATTATCTGGAAGCCTCTGTATTTGTTTCAGAATGCAACGTTGCAAAGTTTAGAAATATTTCACTGTTAAAGGTCTGTTGAAGGTTATTAATTAAAATATGTATTTATCTTTTCCTGCAGTAACTAAAGAACCAATCACCGTAATCAACAGTCTGAACGTCCTTGGTATGAGGCTCTCCATCAAAGAAGCCGAGACTGGATTTAACACAACATTTGCTTTTCTGATTGTAGAGACCGCATTAGTTTGTTTGACTGTTGGCTTCTTTTTATTTAGGAGGCGCTCCAAAAAATCCAAGAAAACTGAAAATATAGAGTTGGACGGAAAATTGTGATAACAGCTAACGCAAACATAGAAACATGTGAAATCAAAGTTTAAATTTAAAGGAGTAAATTCTGCTAAAAACTTCATCTTCATGAGAGAAGCCACAGTTCAACACTGATATAGTTCTATATTTAAAATAATAAACATAATTATTCTATATAATAATCACATAATAATTATATTGCTTAATAATCATATGCGGAGAAGAGCTTATCGCTTGCAAGGAGCTTTCTGGAGATGAGGTTCACCATCTGAGATTACTGGACCAGGTTTTCATTTGCCCTGCTGTTTGTGCTGTTCAAACAATTTTCTACCTCTTCATAATGATATTTTTTGGTGTGAAAAATATTAAGCTAACTTAAGTAAATTAATGGTGTAATCCATTTCAATCCTGTGTAAAACTTCAGATTCATTCTACTAACTGCATTGTTGATGTTTTTGTGTCGTGTAGGTAAAAGTAATATAAAAGTAAAACAATGTTAGCTTATAAGCTTTCTTTGTGTGTGAAAATTTTACTGTCAAATAAAAAGACAACTGTTAAAGTTACTGTCATAATAACTTATTGTAACATTTAGAACAATTTTGTGAATCTTTGTTAGACAAAATTGACAAAGCACAACATAACAACCAACCAATATCAGATTTGTGTTGCTTATCAAGCTTCTAATAAATAAAAATATTTAAATTAACCAAACTGTTTTGTACTAATCCATTTCTTCCAATTATATTTATTTTTTATTTATTTTGAAAGAACCTCTGAGTTTGTGCATTTTCTTTTTTTACTGCTCTATATCCATAAGTCACCTTCTGATCTTCATACTTGATTCTCTCTTGTGCCTCTTTTATTTGTGAACAGCTCATGAGCTAAATTAATACTCTATATAAAAAATAAATAAAAAAAAAAAATTCCCTTTTCACCCTCCGCAGGTGATCTCTCTCTCATCCTCTGAGCTCGGGTCCTCTACCAGAGACCTGGGAGCTTGAGGGTTCTGCGCAGTATCATTTTAAGATATATATATATATATTTAAAACACTAATGTTTTAAAACATTAAAACATAAGAATTAAACGCTTTAGCAAATACGGGAATAAGGTAAAAACATGTAGGAGAAAGCAGTCAAAGGTTAGGTCAAAGTCTTGTCAGCTATAAAATCTAAAGAACCTGTTAATGTAGCTGTGTGACATCACTAGCTACTAAATTTTGCCAATGATACACACACAGACAAAAAGGGTGGTACCCTTCTGTTAATGAAATGCCCACATGTCATTGATATAACATGAAACTTACAAAGGTAATAATAAATAAAACAAATTTGAAATTAATGAATAAAAATCAGGTACTATGATTGAATTATGGTCAACAAACTCATTTTAAGAAACAAGTGGAACAGGCTTGAATAAAGCTGACAGTGCCTGTAACTTAATATTTTGTTGTGCAACCTTTCCGCAGGTATTTTGACCCACTCTTAATGGCCAAACTGCTCCAATTGTGTCCATTTTTAATGGAGCCTTCTCCAGACAGCATGTTGCAGCTCCTTTCAAAAATGTTCAATAGGATTTAAAACAGAGTTCATACAAAACCAGTTCAAAATAGCCTAATATTTTGGTTAGGCATTCACAACTGTGTGCTTTGGGTTTTTGTTCTTTTGGAAGACGTGACAGATCAGTTTCTGACACTAGGCAGCATATGTCTTTCCAGAATGCTATGATAGTCATGCGATTTTATCAAACACTGGACAGACTCAAGACACCCTACGCCAGACGCAGCAAAGGAGCCTCAAACATGAGCCTCCTCCATGTTTCACAGTAGGGGGAGTTTTCATTTCTTGTTCCGCTTCAATTTTGCATCTACGAACATAGAGGTGCCAAAAAGTTCCAGTTTTGTCTCATCTGTCCAAACAATATTCTCCCAGAATTGGTGGCTTCACAATATGCATTGTAGAAAATTTCAGTCAAGTGCTTAATTTGGAGAAGGACAAGGGAGCATGTTCATGAGCCACAGTGGTCAAGGAATGAGATACTGAGAGGAAAGTCCGCTTGTTTGTGCCAACAAGCAGGTGCTCACTGCCAAATCTTTCCAACAGGCTTGGCTTCAGGATAAGGCACTGATCTGTTTGATGTGGGCAATATACCTACCTTTTTTATTAAGTTTATCATAGAGATTATTAAATTGCATTATCTTGGCACCAATTCTAGGGTCTATTAGGGCTGTTGTAAACGAATATTTTAGTAATCGAGTAATCTATCGATTATTCTTANTATATATATATTTATATATATTTTTATATATTTTTATATTTTTATTTTTTTTTTTTTTTTTTTAACTTATTGTTAACATTTTTCTTCTTTTTTTTTAACAAACACCTTAAAGAAATTATGAAAGCCAATAAACAATTTGGACAGATTATTAATCTTTATTTTAATGAAAAATATAATCAGTACTCATAAAATAAATCTTTTATGTTACTTTATGTGGAAAACATTTTTCAGAATAATTAAAGATGAGCATATGAACAGTGTATATGCCATTTCATCAGAATGTTTTGTGAAATGTGTAATGGACTTACACCTGTTAACCAGCAGGAGGAAATGCATTTGCTATATCAATAATGTCCACTAAACCAGAAAATATGCAAATGGCTCCCATGCAGATAGTTCTGATTCTAGTAAGTAAAAAAAAAAAAAAAAGATTTATAAAATGTACTCTCCCTGTTTGCAACACAAACTTTAGCCTTTTGTAACAAGCAGTCTTTAAAAGCTTGAAGTTCAAGTGAGCAAGTGAAAGTCAATGGTTTTGGTAACACTGAAACCAGATACATATTTGGAAATGCAACACAGGAGACGCCGCTTGCATGAAGTAGAAGTATGCGGTGCCAACTGCTAAATAAAGGCAGGTTTCTGATAGGTGACATACGGGCTGATTCATGCTTTCACTACGGCCTCTACGGCCACACGTCCTGGTTAAAATGAAATATTTTAACCAGGGCGTTGATGTACTACTCTATAAAATGCATACCCAAAAATGTGTATATTTTTAGAGGTTCAAGTATATTTGAGAGTACTCCTAAAGAAAGGCCACAAGTGATACTTCTACCACAGAGCAAGAATTATAGCTCAGAACAGGGGCGCCACCAGGAATCTTGGGCCTCATGGCAAAAAATAAAAGTGAGCCACCCCTTCGCAGATGCTATTATAATTTCTTGAGACTATCTGACCCATCAAAAGCATCACAATTTTAAAGGCTTGCAATTGCCTTGCTTTCTTTGGTCCTTTACTGATAGTAGCACAATATTCACTGCTAGTGAATTTTACATGCAACAGTCCACATACTGCATGCAAATAGGTTGCTTAAAGATTTATTTGTTTTAGTAGTTATATTACCTTATTAAAATGTCTCTCCCCAACAGAAACAGTCACAGGCAATCTGCAAAACATACATGAAGCAATCATGCAATCCACACTTCTCAAAAAATGCAATGTTGTTGCATTTTGTTCGAGCTGCAGTATATAATTTTTCCATATTTGTTAAAGCTGTCACCATGTCAGGACAGTTTGCTATAAAACAGATAATCTGTGAAAAGACCAATCTCCTCCAGCTGCTCCCTGAGCTGCCTGCTGTCTAAAGAAATGCACCGTTCTGACCAAAACAACCAATCAGAACCAGGAGGACAGTCTTAGCACTAGTGTCACTCAACCTCATTCACTCACTGCTAAGTGTGTTAATGGAAGATTTTATAAAGATCGTTTGAATTTCTGTGAGTAATACATAACTTGTTTTCGTTGTGTAACTGTAAAAAGAGTAGAGAGACAGGAAAAATCCACAAAGATTCCCTGGAATGATGCTAACTTGCTTGTTGTTGAATACAGTGTTGCTCACCTTTTTCACTGGGACAGGGGGGAGAGGTTATGATGGTATCGGGGCTAGAGCTGCTGCTGACTGACTCATCTGCTGTTAAGTGTGATAAAAGGTACAGGGACAAGTTAAATATATGAACATGTTAAATTCTTCCCTTCATTCTTTACATGCTAGTGAAATGGAGGTAAACAGTAGTATGTAGCTAAGCTAACTATGCTAAATGGTTGACAATCTCGCACAGTCTATTCACCTTTCTTAAAGAAAAACTGGGCTATAAATTGCCACTCTTGTCTTTTCTCTCTATATCACTTTCTTTTTGTAAACCTGACTATTATTTTTCTTGGCAGCATAGAAACTTACATTTTTGTCTCCTACTGACTGCTGCTGAACGCCGTCATCAAGTGCGCTACGCAGGAACGAACCATTTCATGTAGATCCAGGGGGGTTCAGTGCAAATATGGATGTGTGCTTTTTGGTCTGGGAATGGAAACATTTAATTTTTACTCATAAAACAATTTAAAAAACATTATTTGACTAATTTTGAAATTGTCGGGGCCCCCTTTTTTTTTATATTTCTATAAGAAAAAAAAAATAAAATTTGTGGGAGGACTCCCTGTCGGTCAGGGGCCGTTTGAATTGCTGTCTGGGGTCATTTCTCATGAGTGATTAGCCTTTTTCATGGCCAAAGAAAGTGTTTCAGGTCAAGCTTTCAACATTAAGATTAGTTCAGATTTCAGTTTATTACCAGAATCTAAGCCCCTTCCTCCTATAAACACATAGAATAAGACACAGATATATCTTGTTCTGTCTAAATCAGTGAAAAATCTTTAACAACTCCATTTATAAAAGTATTTAGATGGCGCACAGTTACACTTTACTTTCTTGGCCATTAAATCTTAAAGTATAAAGTATGTAGAAATTTTGCGGGAAATGTGAAGTACTTTGGATTTTACACTTTCAATGTTCTCAGTTGGCAGCAGTTTTTTTTTTTTTGACTAAAGGACTAGTGTTGTGCAAGTGAAGTGAAGCAATCAAAGCTGAAAACAGGAACGTAAAACAGTCTCCCCCTCAAGCTTTAACTCAGACAGACCTAAAGGAACTTTAAGGTCAAAAACATTAAATACCGACCAAACTTCATGATTAGTCTGAATTATAGTCTTTAAACATTTCGGTATTTCCTTGTTGTGTCAGTTCTGAGACAGCAAGTTTCTCCAGTGTTCTTATCAGTGTGACCATGTTGTTCTTCATGGTGAAAGAGAAGTAAAAGCTCATGTGGCCTGTCTATGTGACACTATAAGATGAAGCTTATAACCGCACTAATGTGGGAGAAACCTGAACACAGAGCAACATGATGCCAAATTATAGTCACTAAGAATTAGGACATTAAAAGTAAAGAGATTAGTTTTTGAGGAAGGAGAAAAAAATCTTTGTGTAAGTTTAGTCTGTACACGATGTTATGACCCAAATTATCAACAAGTCATACGAAAACAGAGAGGCAGATAGCTAATGTTAGCCTAGCACCTTGGCAAACATTCACACAGAATGTTTTGTAGCTGTATGTGCCTTTTAAAAAAATAAAGTTACACATCTTTGAAGTACAGTATTATTATAACAATATAACATTTCTAAAACCTGGTAAGAGTGAGTGGGTTTTGCCATTATCTGTTTCCAACAACTGTTAACCATACAAGTCACAGTGTGTAGTGAGAATGACGATGCATGTTCAGTGAGATACAAACATCCAGAAAAGTTGGGAACATCATTTAAATGTCTGATGTTCATAAGGAGCATTTCCAGAAACAGTGGTATGTTTCCAACAAGCTCCGTGAAAACACAGGGTAAATTGTGAAACAAAAACCTGGGATAGATTTGTAATTCAGGTCATTTTAATTGCACATCCAGAATTAGATTGACGGTGCTGAACGACACAGGAGCGAACAACTAAATAACAGAAGGCAAAGAAACAGAGCCTACCTAAGGTAATGAGAGGAGAGAGATCCTTACAGAGGACAAAACTGGAAGGGTTTTTACAACAGAGCGAGTTGGTTCATTACAGTCAGGTGTGCAGGGCAGGCAGGAAACAAAAAGCAACAACAAATACATTCACTAACGCGCAACTGGATGATTTTCAAAGTCAAACAGGAACTTGTAGCAATGTCCAAACTTTGACACATCATGGTTGCATCGTAAAGCAGCATTCAGCTTCGATGCACCACAAACTTCCAGAAAACTGCAAAAGAGCCAAAACTTTGAGATTTTTAAATCATGACTAAAAACCCACCTGCTTAGAGTTGCCTTTGATCCAAAATTAATGCAACATTGACCATGTAATGCGTATTGGTGTTTTTGATGATGGTATTCAAATTGCTGACTGTATAATTTCTTTGTGACTCTTTGATTTTGTGATTTTATCATGGAAAGCACTTTGAACTGCCTTGTTGCTGAAATGTGCTATACAAATACACTTGCTTGATTAAACCTGATTTTAGGATATATGCAAAGTGGAAGATATTGTCACTGTGAGCTGAAGTAGAGACATTTTTAGCAGATGTTTTACTTGACCTCCTGTCTTCTTTTCTCCTCAGAATCACAAACCTTCAGAATGTTGTTAAACAAGTGCCGCTTATTCAGACTCCTCAGCAGAGCGCTGCAGCACAGGGAGCCGTTCAGATGAGGATAAAAAGCTCCCAGAGCCCCGGAGACCGTCTGAGCCAGTCCAAGTCCATGGTCCTGCAGGACTCTGACCTTCCTCAGAAACCTGTGTGTAGACCAAACAGCACCAAACTTATGCACCATCTTTCTTTGGTTTTAAATCATGTTTTTCTTCTTCAGCTGTCTCGACATCGCAGGAATCAATCCCAGCACGGTGTGGTTCTTTCAGTAGCAACAGCATTTGAACCACTGGTGTGTATAAAACTTCACTCCTTTAATAAGCTGCCTTTGTCAAAAGGTTTAAAATGAATTTAGATAAGACACCCTTTCATAACATTTAGCACTTTTCTGTTATATTTTCCAAGACATATAACATTAAGTATTAGGTTTTATTTTACCTAATACTAAAAAATGTATGGCATTAAATCTTGTGCAATACGATGCGCAGATATTCTCACATTTTGTTAGAAACAGATCTCTGTATTTTATTGGGATTATATCTTGACAAATCTTGGTCATACAATCACAGTAAATGTGTCGTTCTTATACAGACCCATTGTGTCGGGTTTCGACTCAGTTTGTGTGGACATCTGTTGTTAGTGTTGTCTTCATGGCCCTGCACACCTGATTGTTCCCAGGTGGACCTGAAAGGTGAACACCTGAACGTCGCTAAGATCTCAGACAACGGTAAGAAGCAGAGGAAGAACTGGACTTCGATGTGGACTGTGCTGACCACAGATGAACTGCTGCTGTATAAAGACAAACAGGAAACTGGTGTGGTAAGGAACTGTCTAAACTCAACCATGACACCAGAGTCAACCTCAGAAACTTGACCTGCTTAGTTCTTTAGTGCCAGTCTGTTTCTCTATTGGCAGCAGGAAGTGCATTAATCACTCATGTTGTGTCCAACGATCCCCGTGTTTAGAAACCAGGAGGTAAAACTGATGTGGTTCAGCTTTGTGGCGCCGTCATTGAGTGGGCAGCGGAGAAGTCAAGCAAGAAAAATGTCTTCCAGGTAGCCACCTCTGAGCCATCGCCTCATGTAACGGGCAGCTTGTGGATCTTTAAAACTGAATTGTAACTTTTCTGTTTGTTCCAGATCACAACTAACACAGGAAGTGAATACCTCATCCAGGCTGACAGCTTCCCCACTGCCAGCAGATGGCATGAAGCCATCAGAAAAACTGTCGACTCATCAGTAAGAAACCACATCAAACACCTAGTCTAGTGAATTAGTTTTCCTTTAGGTACATAAAAATTGGAGTGACATCTCACTGTGATTTTCTTTTCTTTTGATTTAGACGAGAGACGGCAGAGGCTTTGCTCTGCGGAGGTCCAACAGCTCAGAGTTGCTGTCCAGGCACAGCTCCTTACCTGGACATGGATCCGTCTCACCCAGCATGAAGCAAAGAAACCCAGTTCACAGACGCTCCATCAGTAAGTTTAAAACTCATTTATATGCTTAAAATTAGCATTAAATTATAATCAGATTCAGTCAAGATTTACAAACACGTTGTAATTATAAGATACAACAGTGTTTATGAACAGAGACACAAACTGGAAAAAGCAACAGGGAGACAGTGTGGTAAAATTATTAAATTGTTACTGCAAATTTTTCTGAATGCAAATACCTTGTTATACCTTTATATTATTGAGGTAGGTAATAATAAGCTGCATTTACGTAAGTGACTCTACTTTTTACCTCTACATGAGTGATATTATCTTACAGTAACACTACTCTGCAACTTGTGCCTACTCTACCCACAGTGGACCCTTCTTGAAGTGACAGAAATAGCATTCTCTGTAACCATACCTACATCCGCCCATGCAGTTCATGATAATGTGATACTTCTTCTTCTTCACAAGTGTTTAGTTCCTGTCTGCTAACTGTGCCTACTTCAAAAGAAGTAGTCTGCAATGTTCAAACAGACATTACTTGGTGTCGGTATGGTTTTCAAAAGCTTAATTTTGAGAGAAAGTGAGATTTTTTTCCCCCCATGTGGCTAAATGTATTTTTGTTTACTTTTGACTTTATTAATTTAAAAAAACAAAGTTATATCACATGACATTACAATCAATTTCTTGATGGTTTTATATTCACTTTTTTGAATTACTATTTTTTTCTCAAGAGTAATGCATACCTTACCTAATTCTGCTTGTTTAGGAGCGCTAACATCATTTTTAATATTTATTTTTTATGTCTATTGTAGTTTTCAGCTAACTTTTTATCATGTGATAAGTGCAATATAAGTAATTATTTGCAGTCTTTCTTAAGTGAAATGTTTTTATCTGGAGAAATGCACCCAAATTTGATCATATTTCATTGTTACAATGAAAATGAAGATTCTATTCTATTCATTAAAACAGTTATTTGTTCTGATCCATTTAAGACTATATGCTACTGTAGTTAGTAAAACTACAGTGGCATATCTTTAGTAGTGATGCATTACAACGTGCACCAAATGACAAAGAAATTTAAACTCCAGCTCAGTTTTCCAGTTGAACTTTAACCTTTCCATGTCCTGAAACTCATTTCTTGAGTGAGTTTCCTCTGATTTGATTCATTTCAGCTGCATAAACAGAATATGATCTTATTATTGAATATTTAATTGTTTTCCAGACATGTTTGGAGGCTCGAAGCTGAAACACAGCGCCTCAGACAGTGCAGACAAGAATGGAGTGAAGAACAGACTGAAGAAGTTCATCATCAGACGTCCGTCCATGAAGACATTGCAGGAGAAAGGCCTCATCAAAGGTTGTTGCATATAAAAAAAAAAGATTTCTATAAAAAAAAAAATCAACCCACGTTTTAATGCTTGTAATGAGCAATTAAAACATCCACATAATAAACTTAGAGTGTATCTTGTGGCTCTGCACAGATAAGCATGTAGTATGAATGGATGGATGGATAAGATTGGTATGTTTTTTTGCATTTGAAATGCAGTTAAACAGAAGCCGTGAAAAGCTGTGCTAAACCAATAAACTGTTTTATTGTTGCCTGTCAGATGAAGTCTAAACAGAATGTAGAAATTTTAACCTGAACATTTTCTCCTTTAAATCTCAGACCGAGTATTTGGTTGCCACCTGCTGACACTCTGCGATCGTGAAGGAACCACAATTCCTAAATTTGTAAGGATTTGTTTAGAAGCTGTTGAGAAACGAGGTACGTTCAGCGGAAGATGTTTTCTTTTCTGCCTAACTCTGCCCTTTACACAGAGTTGATTCATCAGTCAGATCTTAATAATCTAAATCAGCTGACCTAGAATGACAGAGTGTCTTAATCTGCTGACACATCATTTAATTGTCCATGAATGTTTAATGTTTTCAGGTTTAGACGCAGACGGGATCTACAGGGTCAGTGGAAATCTGGCCACAATCCAGAAACTTCGCTTCATTGTTGACCAAGGTGTGCTTGACGGAAATGCATGTCATTTTATCAAAATTGAAAATCTGCTTTTCTCTAATTATAATGTTGTGGCTTAAACTAAAGATTAAACCTCAGATTGAGAAACCAGAGCCTTTTTATCTGTTCTGTCCCAGAGGAAGAGCTGGACCTGGACCACAACCAGTGGGAGGACGTCCACGTCATCACAGGAGCTCTGAAGATGTTTTTCCGTGAGCTGCCGGAGCCGCTGTTCCCCTTCACGTTCTTCCAGCAATTTGTGGACGCAGTCAGTGAGTAAACCCTGAAAAATAATCAGATTTTTTCTCTCTTTGGGTTATTATGTCTGTCTGGACGATTTTAGCTAAACAATGGGGAAAAATTCTTGCAGTTGAAATTAAAAATATTAAGACATGAATAAATAAAATGCTTTGATGATGAAGACGTTCAAATGGATGTAAACTGACACTGATGTTGTTTCTCAACAGAGATTAAAGAAACCAAACAGAAAACTCAGGCTGTGAAGAAACTGATCCATCAGCTGCCGAAGCCCAACCATGACACCATGAAGCTGCTCTTCAGCCACCTGCAAAAGTAAATATGCTGGGAAAAAAAATATTATTCTACTCACCAGACACATAATGAACAACTAAAATGTCCATTTGTTTGTAATTACAAAACTAGAAACAACTTTCATGTTGTTTCTAGTTATTGGCCGATGCTCCCTCTGACTTCATGTTTCTTCTGCGTTTTTCAGAGTTCTGGCTTTTTCAAGGAAGAATCTGATGTCCACTCAGGGAATCGGTATTGTGTTTGGACCAACACTGATGTGGCCTGAGCTGGATGCAGGAAACATGGCGGTCAACATGGTTTACCAGAACCAGATCGTGGAGTTCATCCTAATCGAGAGCCGAGAGATCTTTGACCTGGGCAGGATGTGAGACGGGCAGGAAGTCAGATGAGACTGATGGACTCAGATTCACTCATCACCAGAATATCATTCAGCTGATGCAGTGTTTGGGGCCTGGAGTGTATAAAGGATTAAATGTATTACATCATTAGATCAAAATTCATCTAATAGTTTGTTTTAAAAACACAAACTTTTGAAGTTGATCAAATAAATCTGTAAATATTCAACTATTTTGACATTACAAGATAAATGTGACTGCTGCTTATTTTCATTTGAACTGAATTTAGGTAAAAAAAAAACACATTTATTTTAAAAACAATGTTTGAATTTATTAAACAGATAGTTGTATATAATATGTTACTGTCCTTTCAGCCCTGCTGTATGATGAAAAATAATAAATATCACAACTTGTGTTTGTTTTTGGACTCAACACATCTATCAAATTTAAAAAATGTGATTTGAAGAGAAACTTGTGTCTCTAAAGGGTTTTTATGCGAAAAATAATATTTAGAGGCAACATATTTGATATCAGTAACACTTTATTTTTGTCATTGAGGAGGCCAGAAGATTGTGCTTTAAACACCGGAGGAAAAATAATGATTTGACATCTATAATAGAAATATCAGCTATTAGTTTAAAATAAATTAAGTAAAATAAATATAGCAAGTAAAATACAAATGTAGAAAATAATTGAAAATACAGTACAATATGTAGGTGGAAATAAATATTGCAAACATTAAATGATTAAACATTACAGGGAAATAAATAGTAATCTAAATCCAGTAAAAAAATACTTTAAAATAATGCCATGATGCAGAAATGTTCAATAATTACACAAAAATAATTACAGTAGAATAGACATAGTTCAATTATGGTAGTGAAATAAATACAGTAAAATAAATACAATCATTGAAAATCAGTGACTGTGACTACAAATACCAGAAATAGCAAATACAGCACAACACTTCCATAACATCTGAATCCCACAGACATAAACACACCACAGGTCTAACGGACACTATCCAGCTCATGATGCGTTTTGGTGAAATTCGTTTACTGTATTCTCTCTGAAGGAAACGTAATGTTTGTAGAAACTGTCAGGAGCAGCTGAGGAATTCTCCAGCAATAACAATGAAATTAAAAATTAATATAAAAAAGTATCAAAATGTCCAGTAATAAAATATAAAATGTTGAAAAAGGCCAACACTTGGACTAGTAAGTTTAAACATTCATGAAAAGAACAACTGAAACTCAAGACAGGGCAGCAAAAATGATTGAAAAACAATTATTATAGCACTGCAAACTCATAAAGCAATGATGTGCAAATAGATGAAATTATTTGAGGTAATTTTTTTCCGAAAAGGTTTATATAGTGTAAATAAAATCAAAATCAGATGACTAGGCAGTGTTTATTTTAATTATATTGCAATTTAAAAGCATTATTATTATTTAATTATTTTATTTTATTATTATTACTACTACTACTATTATTATTATTAGTTGTTGGAAGATAAAGACTGCTTCAAAAATCCCAAAAATGTCATTTCTAATATTGTTTTTCAATCAGGAGAAATACAAAAAATCAATCCTGAGGTGAAAATACTCTGTTTTCTCAATTTTGTCAGGAAAGTGTCTAACAGTTCAAAGATGATTAAAGATGATGCTTCTAATATAGCACGTTGATGCATCAATGTGCATTATTTGGGTTATACTTAAGAAAAAACAGCAGCAGAAGCCTCAGGCTACTGTCTTCTAAAGTTCAGGTTTTAATACTGCAGAAAGACAAATTGAATTCAATGAATGGATCAGAGTCACAGGAAGTAAAACAAACAGCTTTGTTTTTCTGACAGAAGAAAACAAATCAAGATATTATTGGCTGTTAAAGAGGAAAGTTGAGGAAATGAGTGTTTCCTGTAAAGGCAGAGTGGTGACGACAGGAGAGTTGAGAAAAGATCTTCAGAAACAAACAAAAAAACTGATCCAGAGTCAGCTGTTACCTGTAAAGACAGAAAGTCATACATTTTTAAATAAAAGGGGAAAAAATAATATTGAATGGAGTAATTACAGTCCAACTAATTCCTCATTTTTCTTCATATTCATTTATTAGACCTGACTGAAAGCCAAGCCATCAGTCCTGATTGGGTCAAACTGTTACTGACCTGGAGTCCCTGGTGGTTTCACTGTGGGAACTGAAGCTGTTGTTGCTGTTGAGCTGCTTGATGTCGGGAGGAGTGATGGCGAGGACTGGAGGCCACGCCCCCTCCTCTGACGGTGGGTTTAATGGATGGGGAGGAGGACGAGTGGTGGTACTGGTGCCCGGCTCTGATTGGCTTGGCTGCATGGAGGCAGGAACCATGTGACTCAGTTGAGATCACACTCTTCAGATTACAGATTCAGTTTTCTGCAGGCTGCGGTTCTCACCAATCTGAGCAGAGTGCCCCCTCCTGGAGACGTTCTTGGACCGGACGGCCTCTTTGATCCGGTCCACCTCCTGCTGGTACCGTTTGCGGTCCCTCAGAGCCGACTCCTTGGCGTTCTTCAGGGCCGTTTCCAGCACTCTGACTCGCTCTGCGGTGGCCCGCAGCCGCCGGTCCAGCTTGGGCAGCTCGCAGCGCAGGTCTGCGTTATCCCGCACCAGCTGGGAAGACGCAGACTTAAATTTAATCTGCTGCAGTTTGTTATGAAACTGATGAAACAGGCGCGACTCTTCATCACAGATCTAGAGCTTTAATTCAATTCACTATATTTATAAAGGAACTTTACAAGAAAAAATGAATTCTTACACTAAAACATATTTGAATCCAAAAACAATCCTGGGGATCGGTTTTGCACATTGATGTCTTGCTCATTAAGAAAGTGTATTTATTTTATTTATGCATTTAACACATTATTAAGGAAACTTTGCATTAGCTTTATTGAAACTTTTAAAAATGAATCTCCTTAGATAATAATAGTGTTTATTTTTAATGCAGTGTTTCAGTCTACCAGCGCTACCGTAGAATAGGATTTTTAATTTGAAGCTATCCACTGATAATTATTGAAATCGTTCAATACAGACAAATAAACAAACATAGAACAGATGACCGCTGTGCGGTGATACCTCACCTGTTTGTGGACTTTGCTGAGCTGCTCCAGGTTGTTCTCTAAGAAGATGATCCTCTGCCTCTGAGCCAAACTGCCGCCGGCCTCGTCGTTGTCGTTCTCTGAGCTCTGTTCAACAGACGATGAGTTAAATCCAACAAACATTAATATTCTGAGTCGCATCCGACTGGAATTACTACTGGAATGGTCTTGATCTTTCTAAAGTGTCCTGAAACTACTTTTGTTATCAAAGATGGATACTTAAGTAAGAAATGTTTAATTGTTAGAGGTCAGTTCAAAAGAAGCGTCTGAAAATAAATCACCTGGAGGTTCATTAAATAGTTAATGTGAAAAACAAGTGTGGAATAAGTTTTATGTTTTAAATAGCATAAATACGAAACAACTGATCTATCTGTAATAGCGTTTACAGATTCACAATGATTTCTGTTAAACAGTCAGAACCTGAGCTTGGTCAGAACCTGCTGTGTTTTTCTTACGTTCTTGACTCGAGACGTGATGTCTTGTATGAACTGGATCCGAAGGTTGGTCAGAGTCTGCAGCTCTTTGGTCTGTGAAACAACAACAGAGTCATTTTCAGATCTCTGATCCTCAACATGTGTCAACTAAAAATGCAAATAAATTAATGTGGACTAATAAAATTCATACCACAGTTTCCTCCAAGCCTTTCAGATCCTCCTTGGCTTGTTCTCTCTTCTCATTCAGAAACCTGAAATGAAATCAGAAGACTGCAGAGTGAACACTGAATGGCTTCACGAAACAGAGAGAAAAGATTTATGTCCAATTTTATAGAGAATTTAAGAAAAGAGAAACTGTCTGTTGTTTTTAATCCCACTTAGTTCACATAAGGTGGAACTAAATATTTAGCTGAAAACAGTTTACATATAAACACATTAGTAAAATAGAACGGTGACCCAAAAACCAACATACAGCATGACAATTTCAATAAAACATCTTACATTACAAACAAAATTTAAGTTAGATTTCTCCCTCCATGTACCTGAATACAAGCAGATGGAAGTAAACAAACGGTAACTCTCAACTCACAGGATACCAAACAAACTCCTGTTACAGGAAGCAAAGAGGGACAAACTTACTGCAGTTTCTGGAGTCTTTGCTCCTTGTTTTGGTCCTCGGCTCTGAGTTTGTCAAAGTCAGACTGAAGTTTTCTGTTCTCCAGCTGCAGAGCCTGATTCACACTGAGAGATAAACACAGAACCTCCTGTTATACAAAATGAAACTTTATCACTCAGGAGTTATAATTTGGTTGAACTGATAAGTAATAATGGTGAAAACAGTCGGTACTCTTTGAGCAGGTCGTTGTCTCTCTGCTTCTGCTCGATCTCATCGCGGAGTCGGCTCAGCTGCTTCTGATGAACCTCCCTGTGGTTCTCCATCTGTTCCTCCAACGTTCTCTGCAGAGCACAAAGCAGCAGCAGGTTTCCTGGTTAAACGTGTCACAAAGGGGTGGATAATAATCAGTCTTATCCAATGATTAATTTTTTGGAATTTGAAAACTTTATTTTTGGAAAATTTGGATTTTTGTCTTGTGTTTCCATAGTTCAGAGTGAACTTAGGACCCACCATGTTGTTTGTGTTGTAAAACAACAGTGTTTTACAACTTCTGTTAATTTGGATTTTGAATTTAGGCAAATTATGCAGTGGAATATTAGGACCAGACTTTTTTTTAATTACTAGAAAAAAATGATAACATTAGGAGAATGAAATAATAATTTTATGAGAACTCTAACACAGAAAATTATAAAAAATCAAAATGAGGAACGATGAGCATCTTGTGACATTATATCTTGGTAAAAGATTTACAGATAACACTTAATGCCTAATAGAAACACTGAATATTTTAACACATCAACTTCAGATTATCATAAACAGCAAGATGTTACAGCCATGCAAACTGATCACATCAGAATCAAAACTTTTTCTTCAGAAAACTACTCATAATTTTAATAAGTTGTTTCTGGTAAATTTGCATCTTTATTCTATTAATATAATGATTAATTTCTCTTAGATAAACAAAACTTGTCATAGCCTGGCCTTAATACTCCGTTTAACAACTCACAGAAGGGATGATTAAAATAAAAGCAACTTTTTGAAAATTTGATATTTGTAATTTATTTTTTACAAAAGAAAGTGAGAGAAAACTCTCACTCTTATAATCAGAAATTGGCCCTGGTGTCTCTATTAAATGTTCAAGGAAACCAGCTGGAAATTTGTGTCAATGATGAATACAACTAAGAAACACAATCACTGACTAATTAAAGTGAAAATATTGATAACTGAGATCAAACTGAGTTTTTGAAGAGAGGCGACAGACTGAATGAAGCCGTTTATCTGTTCGATCATCTCTTGTTCTGAGGAAACTTCAACGATCTCAGAGTCTTTACCTTCATCTCCACAGCATCCTTTAATCTGCTCATGTGTTCTTTCTCTTTGTCCATCACCGTCAGCTCATGCATCTGACCTGAAAACACACACAACAGTTTTTCTCTTGTCCAGTCACAGAGCAGGACCTCCTGTAGCCATGGTGATGACCCTGACCCTGAGCGTGTAGCTTAGCAACCTCCTCCATCAGAGCATCCTGACTCTCCTCCAGCTGCCTCTTCTTCTGCTCCATCCTCTGCAGGTCGGCAGACAGGGATTCCAACTTGGCCTGAAGCTGCAAAAACAACAACAATGTAAACAACAGCAACCTGAAAAACAACAAACACCAACCCTGGCAGGGTGGTCTGCCAGGGCAGCGACACTTTGCTGTTTTCCGGTCACACACACTTGTGAAATGATTCATAAGCAAACATCTCTCCATCATGCATTACTTATTCACACAGTTGGAGTTCCTGCTGTAGCTCTGCTGATTCCACATCAAATTTTCACTTCCTCAAAAGTTAAAGTTTGTTCTGAGAAATAATTTATTTAAAAAGTCCACACTTTTTTTTTTTATTAACATGCCAGGAAAAGCAGCTTTGTCCTGATGGGGAATAATTAAAGATGCACTAAGAAATCGATTGTTGACTGGAATTGGATGATTCACATTGAACTATTTAAAGTAACAGAGATGTTGCAAGTAAAGTCAGAGGAACCACAGAGAAATAAGATGCTACTTAAAAGGAAACAGCGAGTTCTGTGGTTCCCTCAGGCTGCAAGAGAGAGAGAGAGAGCATCACCTTCTGCTGCTCTGTTTTAGTCTTAACTTAGTTTTTATTTATTTTTAACAACAAATAGTGATGCTCTCCCATAGTTACATTCTGTTGTCTCTTACAGCTAAATACATTCATTATAAGTTACAAAATAAGGTGAAATAGCAATAATGATGTCTAAAGTTATAACAATTAACACAATACAACCAGGTGTGTGTTACCTGAGAGACGAGCAGCTGGCAGGCGCTCAGCTCCTTCTCATTGACCTCCATCTTGCCGGTGTTCTCCGTCAGGCTGACCTCCAGCTGCTTGCTGCGGTTCACCAGAGACTTGACCTCAGACTTCATCTTGCTGATGTAGAGACGAGCCGTGGTGAACTCCTCCTCCATCACGCCGCTCATCTCAGCCATCTGAGAAAACATTAAAACATGCAGGAAGCAGTCAGCCAGCTGTAAACTGGATGTCTGCCTGCAGAGCAGCAGGAGGGTCTCACAGCTTTGAGCTCTGTGGTTCCGAGGACGCTGCCGATCTCACTGAGGTCTCTGATCAGCAGGTTGAGGATCTCTGCAGATCTCTTCTTGTGGTGAGTGCTGAGCTCCTGCATGGTGGACAACTCCCTCTGAACGGCCTCCAGACCCGCCTGCAACCACAGAACATCATGGAACAACAGCCAACATCTCACAGCAACCTACTGGGCTGCTTAAAGCTTTGAAGTGCAAATATTACATGAGAAGTTTTAGGAATTTCAGCCTGAATGACTTGGAGCTCATTGACAACAACCAGCCAACACAAGGCTTCGGTTTGTGGACTCACCGTTTTGTGAGCCAGCTCCTCGTTCAGCTGCTCGTTGCAGCGCGTCTTGCTCTCCACCTCCTGGCTCTTGTGGTCATAGTTGACGGCCAGCTCCTCCAGCGCCTGCAGCACCTCCTTCACCTCCTCTTTGGCTGAATCGCTGTCCCTCTGCAGCCGGCTCAGCTCCTCCTGCAGACGCTCGTAGTCCTGGCTCCTGGACAGCAGCAGCTGTGGGAGCAGAGCGTCAGCAGGGGTGCGGAGGAGAACGATAGCAGAACAGGGGCATCATGGGAACTCACCTCATCCTGCTCTATCAGCTGCTGCTTGAGCTTCTCAGACGTCTGACTGTGCAGGTTGATCTCATCGTCCTGAAACACGAGTCAGCAGTTTTATGGTTTCCGTCTTCATCATCATCATCCTGCTGCAGGTGCAGGTGAGACTCACCTTGTCGTCCAGCTGCTGGTAGAGGTTGGTGATGAGCGTCTCGTACTGCCCCTTCTCCTCCTCGGACAGAGGCACGGTGGGCGGGGCTAAGCTCTCGATCACCGCTGGCGCCTCGGTGCTGATCTTCTTGCTTCTGTTGCTCAGCTGCTCCTCCACAGGTACAGACTCACCTGGAGAGAATCAGAAAGAGTCAGAAATCCACCAGCAGCTTGGGGTTTACTGAGGGGGAGACAGGGCACCAAAAATAATGATGGTTTTAGCTTTTATCTGAACTAAAAAATAAAAGAAATATCAACATGTGGAAAAAAAATTTAAGCTAATTTAAAATGTCAACTGAGTCACTGAATATAGTTTGTTATTAAGAAAAGAAATATTTTCCTTCTTAGCTCTGAAGAAGCTAAGAAGGATCATTTAACTGTGAATAAAGTTTTTCTTTTATCACAGTTAGTATAAAAACAGAGTTTCTAAGATTAGCATTTTCAGCTCTGACACTTGAATTGACGTTGATAGTCTTGATCTTAAATACTAAAAAAAATGCATAATTCTATAATGGTAATCCATTTTAATACTTTTAAATTGAAATGAATAGAGAAAGCCACCAGGTGGCGTCCTAACGCAGTGCAGCAATGACTTTAACAGGCGTTTCCACTGCAGGAACATTTCCCAGACATGTTTCCACTGCGGGAAGCAGGGCTGGATAAAAACTCAACACAGATTACCTCTCATTGGAGATGTGGTAGTTTTTTTGGAATATCTTCCACAATAAGTGAAGATTCATAATACAAAGTTTCTTAACATTTTTATTTTCCCAGTTTTTTGTGCAGTTTCTAGTTTCAACTGTTTGATAGCTCATAATTTTTGTCAACTCCGTATTTTTGCTTTGCTTGTAAACATTTAATCTCAGTCACTCATGTTGATGAACGTGTTACAGATTTTACATTCAAATACACTAATAAAAACATTCAATCTTGTCAAATGATTCTAAACCTCTTCTTTCAGCATCTGTGGAGGCAAAGGTAAATGATCTCTAATTCACAGAAACATTTATAACCAATATTAGCCGCCAATGTTTACGTCTTCAAACCTCATTGCAACATGATTTTAACTCAGAGTAATTATCAGCAGTAACTTGGTTAAATTTTCCTCACCTTTCCTCCAGCGCTTCAGCTCGTTCTCCAGTTTCTGGATCATGATGCTCAGACTTCTGTTCTTTTCTTTCTCCTTCTCGTACTTTTTCTTCCACTCCTCGGCAGTCAGCTCAAGGTTGACAGAAACTGTGTTCTTTATGGTTTTAGCTCTGAAACATGAAACCACACAGCAGATTTAACTCAGAGGAACATTTACCTGCAGGTTTAGGATTTACCTGCTGCTCAGATCTCAAACTGATCCTTCAGAGCTGCTAACAGACTGTTTGTCCAGAACACTAAAGTGGGAACCTGTGGACTTTACCTCTGACCGAACATGAGGGTGGACTTGCTCTCAGCCTCGTTGTAAACAGACGGAGAGCAGCAGATGATGATGGTGGTCCGACAGTTTCCTCCCAGAGAGTCCTGCAGAATCCTGGTCATCTTGCTGTCTCGGTACGGGACGTGGGTTTTCTACATTTAGACACATAATACACTGATGTGATCCATGAAGGTTTATTATCTGGTTCCTTTCTGTCATGTTTATGCCAGAAACATCTAGAATCTTTTTTTTGTTGCTGTGACCTCAATTATGATCAAGAACTGGAGGATAAATCTGTTTTAAAGTCTGTAACACTAACTCTTATAGTATGAAGCAGGTTCAACATAACCAAGCTTTTTTTTTTTTTTGAGGGATCTGTCTGAACTAACCCTGACATTGAAAGTCATGCTTAAGTGGTAACAAACTAAGTGAACTGTACCTTTATTGTGAGGATCAATCACAATGAAGAGACAGGAAGGCAACCAAATCATTAAGGTATTAATGTTTACAGTTTTCTTTCCCCTTTTCAAATGTTACTGTCCTAACCTCTGTGTCGCCTACTTTTGGTTTTTGCTAACTCTTTTCCTCATACAGCAGGATGTAAATCAGTCTGCCTGTTTCTCTCTCCGTTTACCTGGCCTGTATAATTCTCTGACCTACATAATGTGATTCTTTTTTCTCACCGTTCCTTCACTCAGTGCTGCGATGACGTTCCCAAGAGCAGACAGAGACTTGTTGATGTTCTTCGCTTCATCCAACACAGAACCTTCAGCTCCAGTTTTACTGACCTGAACAAAAGCATCAAAATGTCAGGAAGGGAAATGTAGAAAAAACACACACAAACATTTGAATTCTGAAACATTGAAGAAGTCGGACCTTCTCGCTGCCTGCCAGGTCGACCAGATAAAGCTTCCCAGACAGTTTCATCTCCGTCTCCACGTTCTCCTGCTTGATGTTGATCAGGAAAATGCTGTGGCTGCGAGAACTGTGCTCATTCATGTCTGCAGGAGGAAGACAGGTGAAGAACAGAAATGTCAGCTGGAAATACAACAGGAACAGCTCAGAGTTTAAATACTGGAGAGACAGAAACACCAGCTTTCTGTTCTGACTCTAAGAAAGCTTGTATTTGCAGTGATGGAGCAGTGATAACAATGCTTCAGTAATATGCAGTGAAATACTCACTAGTCACAGCGACGTGTCTGTTAGCTTTTCCTTCATCGATCACGTCCATCACCTCCTCAGGACTCGACACAAAACGCTCAGTGCAACCCTGGCAGAGAGCATGGAAAACTTTAAACACATGCAACTCTATTATCTGCAATTTAACAATATTTAACCATATATGCAGTTGTACAAATTTGCAAACTAACATACAGTCACAGGAAAAAGTTTCAGCTACTATGCAACCCCTTGCTTCTTTTTAAGTAAGTGAGAAAATGCATCATCATCATCATCATCATCATCATCATCATCATCATCATCAGTGTGATAACATTTGTGTAAGCAGACATTTTGGTGGTCAGCTGGTCTAGACCAGACAGTTGTGGGTTAACACAATACTGAAAGGTAAAGATACACACAATTACAATAGAATCAATCTGGAAAGGTTTGAAAGTCATTCCTAAAAATATAAGTTCATTCTTCTATTGAAAGATTATTTTTTAAAAAGTAAACATTTGAGACAGATGCAAGTTTTTGGTATGTCAGGAAATTAACCCCAATGCGATGTCCCTGAAATAATCCAAGACTCTTTAGAAACCAAATAGTGTCAGCGAGGACTCTACAGACCTCAGTTTGCAAGCTTTGAAGTGATTAGAAAAAAACTGAACAAGCATAGAGAGACATGGGACTGAGGTACCTTCACATAGGGAACCCTGTTTTTATCCTCATGAACAGCCAGGTTGGTTTTTGACACTGAAACATGAAACTTTGGTCAGAAAATGTTCACGAGTTCTTTGACCTTAAAAAATGAAACATCTGAAATGTCTCACCGTCCAGCAAGTCTCGGATTTTATCCAGATAAATCTCAAAGTAGGAGACCTGCAAACATATGAACACGTTTGGAAACACAAAGTGTGCTGGGTTTTATTATTCTAAGGTGTTTTCACGTGAGCTGGATCACCTTGATGTGGAACTCCAGGTTCTCGTCCATGGAGTAGATGTGGTCAAAGATGTCTCTGGAGATCCTGGGGATGATCCCCATCATATGGGGGTCGTGCAGGTTCCCCTAAAAAAACAAAAAATAATGTTTACAAAGACAAACAAACTGTGTGTTACTCACACAACACACTGACCTCCATGGTGTGAGTCTTTCCTGACGACGTCTGACCGTAAGCGAAGATGGTTCCATTGTATCCTCCCAACACGTCTGAAACGCCAAGTAAAGATACAAACTATTAATTTAATGCCACAAAAATCAAACAATAGAATAAAATACTATATTGTATTATCTAGTTTCCCTTTAAAACAAAAGAAATGTTGATAATATTTACCATCATAATGTCTATATATGGGTCGGGACCAGCCTCACCTTTGACGATCTGCTTAGCACAGGTGTCATACACCTGAATCTGTTCAGTGCTCGGAGGAAAAACTCTGTCGAACACATACGGCTTCCCCTGAAACGCAGGAAGCACTTTGTCAAAATAAAAGACATCAAACTTACGCTGACACACAGGAAACAGAAAAACTGTCAAAGAAATTCATGTTTTGGAGAGACTGTCTTTTTCTGTCAAAGTGCAGAGAGAAACTTTCTACAAAATATGTTCAAAGTGGACGGAATATGTCAGACCTGTCTGACTTTTCATAAACCTTGACATCATTGATTACAATAAATATATTGTATGTTTTCTCAATAAAAAGGTTAATATAAAAAAGAGAAAAATCTGTCAAACAAATCAGTTTCAGGCTGTTGCAGAGCTCTTAGATCCTCGTCTCTCTCAGGTCTTTTCAGTTTCTTATTTTCACATCATAAAACCAAATCTAACCAGATTCACATGTACAGTTTTGGATTCTATCATGAAAGCTTTTCACACATGTAACCTTTATAACATATTTTATCTCTAACTTTAATCACACATAAGACTGACTATCAGGTTTTAGAATAACAGAAAACAATTATAAGCAAACTGTAGCAAGCACAGAACATGATACATTTTGTTGACGGATTCTTTTTTATGTGCATCAAACATGTCTTCATGTGTCCATCAGTATTTGTGTGTTTGCTGCCGACAGCCTTATAAAAACCTCTGGAAGCTGCTGGCATTAAACTGATCAGAGGACAGTTTGAAGATCTATCAGCAGCCAACAGATTCACAAATGTCACCTCAAAACAGTCAAATGAAAAAAGGAGAAATAATGAAAATCTCAGGTCTTGTTTTCAAATTACTAATGTGTAATTTGCAAATCTATTTTCTTACACAATCATAAAGAGACTTAATGAGCACAAATAACCTGACATTTGCATTGAACCAAAATCGCACAACTAGTCAGGCATGAGCAATTTAGTTTGGTGTTTTGTTGCTGATATTATTTTGGAAAAGACCTTTAGGAATGTCACGCCTTTCTGTGGATTTCTTTTAGGCTTTATAAAAGCTGAACTATAAAACTGAACTGGAGAAAAATTCTTTCCTATAAACTAGACCCTTCACTAAGCCCAACATCTAAAATCCTAAAAATATTACAAGTGCATTTTAATTGGCTCCAGATATATATA